ACGATGCTACGCAGCCACTTTGCATACCCCAGAACACACCCCAAAGCTTCAGCAGTTCTTGTCGGGGGGGTGTGTCGGGGGTCTGTCTGGGGTGTGTCTGGGGTGTGTCCGGGGTGTGTTCGGGGTGTGGCCTGCAAATTACAAATCACGATGCTACGGACCCACTTTGCCTACCCCAGAACACACCCAAAAGCTTCAAAAGTTCTGGTTTGCGGCAGCTTAAATAGTAATCCCTTTCTTAAGCTGTAACCGCATGACAAAGTCCATTTGTAATGCTGAGCTAATTTGTATTGCAAAACTACGAGTACGATACTTTTGCAATTCATACTGTCAAATTGGCGGCAATATCGCGACGAACGCGGGGGGACTGCGGGTGTTGCGGTACGGAAATTTGCACGGGTCGGTACTGGGTTTGGAATTTGTGAAGGCGAACGGAGAAGTAGTGGATGTTCTGTCCCGGAACAAAAAGGACAACACGGGAATTGATTTGAAACAGCTGGTATGAATGGGAAAAGTTGTATCGCATTTTTAGGACTGCTTGCAATACAAATGTGATTGGATGCTGCAAGAAGAAGAATTTGTGTTGCTGATTTAGCTTCGGAAAAGAGATTTTTTTCCCATGACTGCGATTGGGGGGAATGCGATACTTTTGCAATCCATAGTTGATGATCGGGTCGGAGGGGGTGTTGGGTGTGATCACGAAAGCGGCGGTGATGTGGTATTGATGAGTATGTTTTTCGTTGGGCCGCTTCAACATTTGGAATATCGAACTTTATGTCAAAATTTGTGTTTCTGCTTTTTTTTTATGAAAAAAATCCGAGGCGTCCGAAGGCTATCTGCTGTAGCCCTCACGCAAAAAAGCGAGTTTTGTGATGCAGTTTAACAATTTTCTAGTAAAGTTTTGATTCATTCCCTTTCTCAAACACATTCCACCACAATCAAACAAATATCTGTATCCAGCCCGCCAAAATGTAACGCCAAGCACGTCCTTCTCCTCTCCGTCGACAACTACGACGACGTCGTTTCGCTTTTCCAAAAAGCCCGCTCGGAGCTCGGCGAGATCCTCTCCGCGTACGAATTCTGGGATGCGGAATGCACGGAGAATTTGAGCAAGAATTTGCCGGACCTGCCCGCCATACCGGAGTTTTTACTGCCGGAGGGAAACGGAAAGCCGAAGTTCGGCGTTCTGGTCGAAACTTCTGGGTCCAATGCGGAGCACGACAGCGAGAAGTTGTTTCAGTTTCTCGACTATGGAATGCAACAGTACCGTATTCGTAGGCACGTAGTCGTGCATGACAAACCTAACTTTCTACCTCCTCTAGCATGACAAATTGCGAAGTTTTTGTTTTTGAAAATAAAATTTGTGATGCAATTCGTCCTTGGTACGGTATCACCACTTTTGCAATGCATATCGAGAAACATGAGTTAGAGTCTGGGTCCATCGCCTCCGACTTGAAACAGTACGCGGAGTTCTGGCGATTTCGGGAAGACATCCCAGAAGCGATGTTGAAAGCAAAGACGAAAGTCGATTCTGGTTCAAAACTTTTCGCTTACGACGTGACTCTACCCGAGATCGACAAACTGTACCTGCTCGTGGAGGAAAGCAGGACTTTTTTAACAAAACTCTTCGACAAAGACCCCGATTTCATCTCCAACGTCGTTGGGTACGGACACATAGGGGATGGAAACCTACATTTGAACTTGACGACGAATGCCGCAGCACCGGTGGAGTTGGAGGAGAAGATGATAAAGAACTACGAACCGTTCTTGTGGCAGCTAGTGAAGGATTTGAACGGTAGCATCTCCGCGGAGCACGGAATCGGGTCGGCGAAAACGGATGTGATACATTACAGCAAGTCGAAGGAGGCGATTGAGCTGATGTACGAAATCAAGAAGTGTATGGACCCCAACATGATCTTGAACCCGTACAAGGTGCTGTGTAACCAACAAAATCCGGTGCTGGTGGGGGACAGCGGATTGGGGCTTGGTGCCTCTAGTAATGATGCAGTGGGCGGTGGGAAAATGCAGCAGAGCATGTGAGGCTGCGATGCCACATCAAGGGAGAGAAAAACACAATGTGATCATAGATACTTCATCCAAGTTATGGAGCTGCTGCACAGGAAGTAGAACGTGTCTGAAAATACAGGAAGCAACGAAGTGCAACAAGCAATCGCTTACGGTGAGCAAGAGGGCTCGCACTACGTAGCTGCACCTGCAGCGTCCGTGTTCAAACAAAGTGCCGCTGTTTTGAGTGAGGCAATTCAGCATTGTTCCAGCGCGACACGACACAACTGTCGACTTCTGTGAAGGAGCGACAGTTACGTATTTGAGATGGAGAGGGTGCGGCAATATAGTCAAGAGCGAAGTGGAGCGTAGCTGCCTCTTGAGAATGAATCTACTGGAAAAGCACTACGCTGCTTGCACCAGAGAAATCGCGCGGGAGCTGGCGGGCGGTCGGCGTCGTGTTAGCGAGGAAAGCCGGCGCGGCGCTGGGTGCGTGTTGGCAGCGCGGCCGCGAAGACCGCGGGACCGGCCCTCTGTGCCCGTAAGAGCGCGAGCAGGTGCGCGAAAGGATGCTGAGGAGCTCAACGGGCAGAAAAAAAGCAGATCAGTGACGTCGCGCATTCAGAGACCGGCCCGCCCGCCTGGCCCCCCTTCGGATTCATTTGCCCCGCCGTCGCTGATGGGGGTGCTTGTGTGGCGCCCGCCCCGGGCCGCGATTGGTTTCGCTGTTTGGCCCGGGTTCGTCCGGTTCGGCCATTTCCTCGGCATTTGGCTGCGCAGATTTTGGCAGGCCCCCGCAGCTTGTTTGCCTGCCCCAGAAAGTTGCGCCGGGTGGCGCGCTGCGTGGGTGTTTGCCTTTGCGGCGCCTGCCCGCCCGGCTGCTTGCGCGGCGGCCGCCCTGCGCGTGCAGGCCCTGTGTTGGTGGTTGCCGGTTGTACACCTCGAGCGCGGCGCCCCCAGAGGGCCGCTGCCCCACTCATCTGCCGGTAGGCGCCGACGATCGAGCGACGGGTGGCAATTTGCCTGGTTCGTGTGTTTCATTTTTCGGGAAACCCGGAGTCGAAATGGGCAGAGCAAGCGTCTTCCGGTTGAAGAGCGGCTGTGCTACAGCATGGGAGACAGAAGCCTGGTTTATTCAGTACTCTCTGCTACTGGAAATGCAGCAGCTGCTGTCCAAGCGGAGTTTGTTTGAAGGCGCAAGCCATCAATTGCAATAAAAGGCGCTTGCTTATGTTTATGAAGGGCAGGAAGATTGATTGTTCATTCTTGCGACGTGGCTTCAGCGTCCGTGTTCAAACCTGTTCCCGGCCAAGCTGGCTCGAGTTGGGCATTTCTGCGTTCCCGCGTAGCTTATTGTTGTGTGCCTGTGTTAGAGAGAGCCTGCACAGTTGAGAGCGACAGTTCGTGGAGAAGATGCCGTGATAAAGGGTGAGGAGCGGAGCTGCTTGTTCAAAATCTCTGTTCTGCTGAGGTGCCACATACACACTTTTCCTTTGCCCAGCTGTGATGGAGGAACCAGGCGGGCGCTGGGGGTGGTGGGCGTTTTGTCAAGGGAAGTTGACGCGGCCCCCCCGGTGTCTGATTTGCGAGGCGGGCGGCCTTGTCCGGGCGCGCGCTGTGGAGCCGCCGGGCCCGGTCGGCGTGAATGGACGGAAGGTGGCGGGCCGTCCCCTGCCGAGACTCTCTCGTGACTCAGAAAGCGTATGAGTACATCCGTGCCGAGGGGCGCCGGCAGGGACGGGCGGGCCGGCGCGGGGGCAGCCTGCCGGATACCGAACCGCGACCATCTGCGCTGACGGCCCCGGCCAGTTGACCCCGCTCGCCCCCGTGCGGGGAAGGGCGCCCCCCCTTTTGTTGCACCCCCGGCCCAGGGAGATAGCGGCCGGCAGCCTGGGCCCCGCGCGCCCCAGCGTAGCGATTCCGCGCAAGCCCATCCTCGCCGCCGATGTAGATGGTGGCCCGCCGGTTGCGCCCGCTCCCGTGCTGCTTGTTCTGCAGCCCACCCACCGACCTGCTGGGGCGCGTCGTGTGCAGGCCTGCGCTGCGTCTGTTCTGCCGGGCCCCCGCCCCGCGCGCGCGCCGCATCGGTAGCGCCCTGCGGGCCCGAGTGCCGGCGGGGCGTGCGAATGCCGGCATCGGCCGGCGGCAGCCACACTTCGAGCGCGGCAGCGCTGAGAGCGCCGCTGCAGCACCCATGGGACAACAGGCTTCGAACAGGGGGTGGCGTTCCGCGGGATTCGCGCGAGAAACCTGACTCCGGGCAAGACGTAAACTAAGTATTTAACAAGAGGAGGGGCTGCAAGCTTCTTCTCAGTCCTTAAAACCACTCCTCGCCCTGTGTGAAGAGAAGGGGATCAAGACCCGCCGGTGTGTGGTAGTGTCTATTCAACTTCTAGTGCAAAAGAGGATTATTAGTGTTGACGCATTGATCAGTGTCGGATTGTGGTTTTCTCTTTTATTTTTCGATAAAGTCAACAGAAGTTGAGATGCGAGCGTGATCGCTTTTGGGGAGATGATCCTACGCTGAGTATATTCTCCAGGCTCTACTAGTAGGAAAGATCTGTTGCTGCAGTATCGGAGTCCGGTCCTGCGGAAAGGATTGTTGCTAGTAGCGAACTAACTTTTACCTGATTGATCTGATGCTGATCAGCCCACAAGCACGTGTATTTTCAATGAAGATGATCTTGGACCATTCGTGATGCTGATGTTGAACAAAAGATCAGCCTTTCGCTGTCGTCCCCGCTCACCCAACCATGGGTCATAATAACGGAGATACGTAGTTTATCACCGATTCTCTAGCAGGTTGCGTAGCACTGCAACGGGAAGGCCTTGGAGCCCAGTAGATAGCTGAAAGTTTAAAATTCTTTTTGCTTCATCTGGTGCTAGTCTTTCTTTTCGTTGTATTCTCAGGCCCAACCTGCGTTGATATTAGTTCGTTCAGAAGTACAGTTTTCAATTGCAAGTAGTTTTGTAGTTTTTCCTCTTTTGAAGGATTTATAAATGAAATATTGACCTTGTGCCATATACGAACCAGAAAATGGCAACCAAAATGACGATGAAAATTCCGACAGAACAAACGAAACCAAGAATGGCATTTTTCCTTGCGCAGATCGCCTACGCTTGGACAGCCATGAGCCCCTTTGGCACAGCTTTGGGCGTCTCTCTGTCTGCGGCTGGACCACCAACGGGAGAAGCTGCACTTGCCGGAAAGAACGATAATGATCAAGAAGTCCGCGTCGAGCAGCATCAAGGAGTGTTCGAGCGTCCTGGCTGTTCCACGGCTTGTTCATCCGACGGCCCAAAAATCGACGCAACTTGCCCGGAGGCGATGGTGGCAAAAAAGTCACTCGACGCAAACCCAGATGAACACGCCGACATTTTGATTTTTTCCTCCCACAAAGAACACACCGCCGCTTCTTCGTCCACCCAAGAACCCCCCTCCCTGCCAACCAAGAGACGAAGGTTGTTTTGGCCGAACAGCAGGAAAAGACGAAGCTGTTGTAAATCGCTCTTGCAGGAGGAGGAGCCGTTGCCGTTGCCGTCTCAGGCGGCAAAGAGGACGAAACAACGCACGAGCAAATCTTCCACTTCGGCTCCCCACCTTCTATCTCCTCTTCCCAAAACGGTCGTGGAACATGTGTACAGCTTTCTGCCAGACCCAAATCCCCCGCTAGCCAGGATTCACGGGCTTGTGTTGAAAGACCGACTACCGGGAAGAAAAAAATGCGGCCTACTGGATTTTGAAATACATCCTCGGGCGGAAGATGAAAAATGCAGAATGAAAATGAAAAATGACTCAACGGATAGTGGTGCAGGTTTTCGCGCCGGGAGGTTGTCCACCTCACTCCAGGTTTACAAGATGGACCCAGCACGCGGATGTCTTGATGAGAGAGGCGCTAATAAGGATATTTTGGCGCTGCAGGAGTTTTCAGATTGCAAGGAGGACCCCAGAGCGGTGAGGCTGACCACGGTGGAATTCCGCTGTGAAAGGGTTCTTCAAGTGGATGACAAAGCACTATTTGTTCGACCAGGAGCTGCAAATAAAGGATGTCAACAAGGTGGAGATGCTGTTGTGACCAGTACTTCTGGAGGGCAACGCCAACGGCAACCGATAGTGCAGGTAAAAAGATTTTTTGCGGAATCCGCTACACCGCTGTCGTATGCATTGCAAAAGTATCGTACTAGTATAAATCGCAATACAAATTTCTCCAGAAGGAAAAATGGAGTTTGTAATGCTGATTTTGCTCAGAAACAAGATTTGTCATGCATGATTGCAATTAGTAGGAGTACGATACTTTTGCACAGGATATGTCGTGGTGTGCTGAGGACGAGCCAGGTCTCAAAAAGCTGCACGGTTGCCTATCCGTTTTAAAAACGTCCTGACACCAGAGTTGTCATGCAGATTATCAAGCACAGGAGCATTTGTGATGCGCATTCCCAAGAGAGGCAATTCCAATCGTGTTCTGGAACTTGTAATGCTGTAAACAGGATGTGGATGAGGAGATGGATTCGCTATGCGGATTCCCTTGCTAAACTGCATTACACTACAACCTGCAAGTTGTCATGCGTGACTCGCAAAACTTTCAGCTTTGTGCTGCAAAATCTCCATCTTGACTCTGGGGCGGGGACATTTTCCTCACAATATTGCCGCATCCGGGCTTACCTCGGACCGTTGAAGCAAGATTGCTCCAGCCGAGTGCTACAGGATTTTCCCAAACACTTGATGTTTGTTTCGGAGAACAAAATCGAGGAGGTGGTGATGCTCATCACGACACCCGTTTGCCAGTGCAAGGATAGAAGTACCGACAAGTCGTGTTGGGATCAGCAGCTGTGTCTTCAGTTTTACCCGCAACACCAGACGTTTACGTTTCCATTATTCCGCAGAGAGGAAGAGGATGAGGAAGAAGAAGAAAATGAAGAGTACTACGCTGGCGCCCGTCCTGATGGCGACCAGAAGAATCTTCCGAAGACCGATAATACAAGCCCACGACCGGGAGGATCTTCATGCAGCAGGTGGTGTGCTGGATCGTCCTCATCTTCAACTGCAGCTAGGCCTGAACCTGAAGGCGTCTATACTTTTACTGGGTTTATTCTTGGGCGCGGAGGAGCTCAATGGAGGACGAGTTCTGGTGATAGAAGCAGAACTACCGACAACTGCACCAATTCGCTGCATGAAGATGATGGCCCTGGACTGGATCCTAGTACAACCAGCAGGAACTGCAGGGAAGAGAAAGCGGCTGCCGGTAGTAGTAGTGCTAGTAGTCGTGCAAGCTCTTGTGCGCCACCAACAAGTAGTTCTTGCCGTTCACAAGAAGACGAAGAACAACAGCGGACACCGACCTGTTCCATTGAACAAGTTTCTAACACAGGTCGCCGCGCCGATTATCCGGACGAAGACCGCACGAGAACTGGGGAACAACAACTAGTGGGCCCGATCCTCTGCTCTCTGGATGACAACTTCGCACCAGACATGCAGTTGAAATGGCAGGGTCTCACCAAGGGCAAGCTCCCGGTGCACGTGAAAATTACCGAGGGGCCGCTTGCCTCGTTGTTTATTCCCCTTGGTAACTACAGCTTCCGCATCCATGTGCCGGGGGAGACGGGGTACTTGAAGCTAAAGGATACAACAACTTCTGAAAGTCGCAAAAATACGTCGTTTTTCCCCCGCAACAGAGTTGTCCTCATCCTGAATCTTCTAAGCCCAAAGCTGTGGTGTCCGCGCATGCTGGAGCGGCTGACTATCAAATGTAAAAATGTCTGGGTCTAGAAGAGTGCATGTTTGTCATGCTTGTCTGGTAGACTCTCAAATCTGTCATGCACGTTACCCAAGAGCGCCATTTTTCTGTCATGCAGAAACGCAGTTTGTCATGCAGAATAAGCAACACCTAGAAGCTCAGAAACTTGTCATGCTGAGCCAGCACTTGTGGCCTCCTCATGATACGCCACCCAGCATCACAAGTTTCCAGACCCAGACATTTTTGCATTTGATACTGACCAAGTTAGAACCAGACGTACAGCCGGGCGAAATACGGTTGGCGGCCTGGGGCCCTTTTCGCGGTATCGAATACAAAGACACGGCGAGCGTAATGTTTCAGACCATTTGGGAGCGAGAAACTGACAACACGGATCCCGAGAAAAGCACGTATTACCTGGATCTCGACCAATGGCCACGGCGGGTGGTCTGGAATGACCTTTCAAACGACCTACAACCCGGTGAACGCAGGGACACACGCCTGCCTATTGACCGGCCTATGAGGGTTCACATTTTCCGGAGGTCCGCGGAGGAAGCGGAAAAAGGCAAATTGTTTACGAACATCAAGTATGAACTGCAAAAGTATCGTACTAGTAGTAATTATTGCAATACAAATTGACTCAGCATGACAAAATTGAATTTGTCATGCGGGTTTGCCTTAAGAAAAGGATTTGTAATGCATAAACGCAATGAGTACGAGTACGATACTTTTGCGCAGGATATCAAGGCGTTCAACCGTCTAGTCCGAGACAAGCTGCTGAAAATCCGTCCTGATGATGACGAAGAGGATCGCAGTTTGAACTTGCTTATCAACAGATGCAAATATGTCATCTACTGGGTCTCGAATAAACTTGTGTTGCTGATGCTTTCGTTGCAGCTGTTGTCGTTGTCCTTGTTGAACTCCCGCAGCATTACAAATCCAGACCCAGATGACCTATTTGCGAAGATGCATATTGCTGCCGTATTTTCGAGTGATTCATTTTGAGGCCGAGCGGGGGCAGGAAACGTTTTGTTTTTTGCTGGAGACAGGGTTTTCCATGCAGGATATTCTGGTGCACGAGTGGTTGCCCGAGGTCGATCGGCAACGGCTTTTCATCGAGGAAGATTACGTGGACTTTATGCTGTACAACCCCGTTTACGTGTAAATAGTGCAAGAACTACTGCGATGTGCATGTGCAAGATAGAAGCGCAAAAATCGGAACATCAACCCGAAAAAGCAGGAGCAGCTAGAGCAAGTGCAAAAAGGAAGATGAACGGAAAGGGAATTATGGAAATAAGTATTTACCAAGTGTGAAAGACAGTTAATTATGTGGATCCTGGCCGAGGACGTTCTCCTGGGATCATTCCTGAATTGATGCTCCCCACAAAATGCTGTGAGTAGGATGAAAATTATACGCGCGAATGCAGCAATTTTGTTGTTGATATTGAATGGTAAAACTGAAGGTGATAAAGCCCTGTCCGAACAAGTATTTCGACGCAGCAGAATGTGCACGTTTTTTATTTTGAAGTGTTTGGTATCACTGCGGAGCTTCCTTGCCGAGTTGGGCTCTGACTTTCGCGCACGGAAAAACATGATCTCGATCGTTTGTCTAGCTGAGGAACCATCATGCGCACGCTCAGTTTGACGTTTATTTCAGTTTCAGTACGGCACTCGGCCGGCAGTCTGACTAAGATTTATAACGTAAAATTTTTCTTTTCGCCAAATAAGTTTTCCAGGTCCAACACGGATTTATTAGGTTCCTCACTTTCTGCTGCAACGCCGCGCATATCGTACTTGTTAGCTAGCCTGAGTTTATTCACTTGCAATCCGGACCTCTCGGTCGTAAATCAAAGTAAAATGTATTTGATCCGAAAATGAAGAAAATGAACGGTCGTGTGATCATGTGATTCGGTTTTTGTTTGTGTAAGCTCCACGACCTCTGGAATCGGCTCTGGATCTGGAAGGATAGAGCCAACATGGCGATCTGTCAAGATCAAGAAACAGAATCAATGAGCACCAACTTGCTCGCGATCGCAGTTACAAATTTGCTATATTTTGACTGGATCATAAAGACGAAGCGTTGGTGCGCTTTTAGGTTCGACAGTTGTAGTTGGTATGTTCTTCATCTTTTGCGCAATTTTCTCCGTTCCAGCTCTAGCGCTAAGTTTAGCAGGAAGATAGCAAGTACTTCCTTGCAGCATAGAGGTAGAGAGTCTATTCTACAGACGAGTTTGTTTTCGATACAAATCTTACCGCAAGAACGCCCAAACCTAGAGTGTAGTGGAGGCAAGTCAGTCTTCTATTTTCTTTTCTTTGCTTGTGTGTCCACAAAATTCATCGCGGAGGTAAATTGATTTGGATACCGGACAGCCAACAAGCCTTGAGCCCTGGCTCATTCTGCTCTGTCTGTGCGACCAACAAATTGTAATTGGCGCGTCCTCTTGTAAGGTAATAAAAATCTTAAAGTGGGCTTTGTCTCTGTGGATTCTACTGCGAACTAGAACTATTTTTGGTCGACGAGAAGTTTCTGTGAGCATCCGGCGCTTCTACGAGCATGATGAATAGAATGAAGTCGTGTGGGTCCTCTTCGTGTGCCACAGAACAAAAAATGGTGGCTGTCGTGGCCGCTCTACTCCTGTTTGTTGCAGCTCTACAGCCGGTTTGTGGGGTCGCGTTAACGTCGGCTCAGCGTCGCACACAGGAAGGCTCTGTTTCCGGTCTTGTTGAGCCGCAGGGAAATGGGAGTGCGCCCAAAGAGTACCTTTGCCCGGGTGGATCATATTGGGACGGCAGCCTTCGGCGCGCAATTGCAACATTCGGGCCGCCCACAACGCACGACTGGTTGACGCCCACAACGCAGCATTCGGAAGAACCGGGACGCAAAAATGATCCCGAAGATCCTCCTACGAAAGAACCGCAGCGCGAGCCTGTGCCGCCGGGCTGGGATAGTGGCGGACTTTGTTTCGGATGTGGAAGCCAAGAAGAGTTCGAACAACGTCTAAAGGACAATGATCGGATGAGCTGGCACCTGTATCCTGAGTAAAAACGTACCCACACCAGAGTCAGGATGGGGATTTTGCAACACAAACCTATGAGTTTTGTGAGTCACGCATAACAAGTTGCAGGCTGTATTGTAGTGCAGTTTAGCAAGGGAAGCCGCATAACAAATCCACCTCCACCTCATCCTGTTCACAGCATCACAAATTCCAAAACACGATTGGAAATGGCTCTCATGGGGATGCGCATTACAAGTCTTCCTGTCTTTGCAAATCTGCATTACAACTCTGGCGTGGGGGCGTTTTTATTCAGGATAAGCTGCCCATCATGTTCGTGGAAAAAAAACCCCGTACGTCGGACGGGTGGTCCGTGGTGGATGGGCCAAGCTTTAAGTACAAGCCGTCGAATATGGATGATGTGTCAGAGTTGAAATCGACAAAGTTGAAATAATTTGTCATGCATAAAATGGATGCCAGTTGGAACCCAGTTTCTAAGTGGCGCATGACAAATTTTGGTGGTCCCTAAAGCCAGTTTGTGATGCTGTTTAGGCAAAGAAGAGCGATTTTCTCATGCTACTTTAGCAGCTCGAGCTGTAACCCCAAACAGGCTTACAATCGGCCTCACTTGCCTGCTCTGCAACGCACGCACCTCGGGTCATGCATTTTATGCATTACAAATTATTTCAACTTTGACGATTTCAAACCTGACGCTTCCATATCGAGCAAGTGGATGAAACACGCGATCGCCCAGGCCACTAAATTCTGGTCCAAAACCCCTCCGGGGCCTTTCGAGCATTGGGTTGGACCCCTTAAGATTGAAAACACGAACACGCACGATAGTCGCGTGAAATACGTCATGATTTACCGCTACCCCCTGAAGCAGATCCAGGGGGCGGAGAAAGCACCATCCTCGGCGAAAGCGTTGAAGTGGATCATAGATCATCAAATGCCGGACGTATGGTGAGCAAAAACGTCTCCACTCCAGAGTCAAGGTGGCACAGCGGCTAGACAAATCGCTAGGCTTTGGCTGTTGCGCATGACAAGTTCGTTCTTTGGGCCCGCAATGTACTAGTCGCGTTTAGCTAGTGCAGCTGCGTGGTCACAGATCAAGCCTACTATGTGGATTTGCATTTGAGCATGATTGATGACACATCGCAAAACACCAATAGAGACTGCCTCTCCTCGCGGGTCTTCGTATGAGAAACATTTTCAGCATGCAGAAGGGCGTTACAAGAACTCTGGGATGGGGACGCTTTTGCAAACAATAGGCCGTGAAAAAAATGACCGTGTCGCACGAGCTGGTCGATAGCCACTACCAAACAGCTTTGCTTACCGATAGCGTTCCCGAGTACCAGTGACGGAAGATGTGACGTTTCGCGATTTTTCAAATTGCTGCTTGCCGGAATGTATGAAATGCAAAAATGTCTGGGTCTGGAAACTTGAGATGCTAAAATGTGCATGATGAAAACACTTCCGAATGCAGTCCGGCATGACAACTTCCCAAAACGCTTTCTCATAAGCAATCCGCATGAGAAACTGCCTTTTTGCATGGCAAAGGAGGCTGCGACTTTTGTTGGTTATGCAATACAGATTTTCTACGATATGAAAAGCTAGCATTACAAGTTCCAACCTTCCAGACCCAGACACTTTTACAATCCATAAATGGCATAGCAGGGTCGTGCCATTGAGGAAGCGAGACCGACTGCGTCGCACATAGGTGGAGTCCAGCTCTTTTAGCGACCATTTTTTCCAACGCAGGGTGACTGCGTGCTGAAAAATGGAAACCTCGGTAGAAGTTCAGGCACGATTCCTCTAGATGATTGTCAAGAAGAGCTGCGCAATTCTGTAGTAAAATAATGTGCTGCAAACGTCAAAGAAACTACAGGGGGGAAAAAATCTATCCAAAGTATAGTGTTTTCCTACAAGTCCGAGGCGCGCCTGAAAATATACCATGCCAAGAACAAGTACGAACGCACACCAAGAAGAAGAAAAAGTACGAACGCAGCCACACTTCAACCAAATTTATTTTACGACGCACTACCGCCACTGTCGTGGTTTTTGAAAACTGACAAGAAGATTTCTATGTTGTGAATTTCAAGTCTACGCAGACTTCATTTTTTGGTGGTCTACTCAGAATTGCTATATGGTGGTCGACGTTCGATCTGGTCCGACGTGCCTATACAGGTCTACTACAAGATCGAGTTGCAGAGTGGCGCTCCTGCAAGTATTTCTTGTTTTTCCTCTTGGAGGTATTGGCATCGGCTCGATGGAGAAACCCTGGGGTTATACTTACACCACCTGTAAAAAAAATCGCCGCAAATTATTCGCCGCTCCTATATCGAGTGGGTGTCCAAGTTTTAAGCCAAGTTTAAATTTTGTGGCTTTTGAGAACAGACACCACTGTGGTTTTTGAGAACGCACTGCACCATTGTGGTTTTTTTACGACGCACTACCGCCACCTTTGTGGTTTTTGAGAACAGACAAGGCGTCCACCGCCGCGTGAAGCCAGACAACACACTTCTCGCGGAAAGAAACGACTATCACGATCCACTACCATGCGCACGCAGCAAGAACAGATTGCACCCATCTGGCGCGTGGAGCTTGTTGGGCTTGGCGCTACCACGACAGGCTTGCGATGTTCCTGTGGTTCCCCCGTCGTCTACAGGTAGTACCTGTAAACTGTTCAGAGGATCATGGTCGCGATCGGATCTTCTATTTGTCTAGATGTCCCCCGGAACAGAGTTGTCCTCATCTTGAATCTGCTAAATCCGAAGCTGTGGTGCCCCTGCATGCTGGAACGGCTGAGCAAGTTAGAGCCAGGGGTGCAGCCGGGCGAAATGCGATTGGCGGCCTGGGGCCCTTTTCGCGTATGAGCTGCAAAAGTATCGTACTCGTATAAATGCATTACAAATTTTCTCAGCATGAGAAATAAAATTTGTAATGCGGATTGACCTTGAGAAAAAGATTTGTAATGCATGACTGCAATACGAGTACGATGCTCTTGCAGAGCATATCGCGGTATCGAATACAAAGACACGGCGAGCGTAATGTTTCAGACTATCAAATGCAAAAATGTCTGGGTCTGGAAGACTGCGAGATTTGTCATGCTTGTCTGGGATGATCAAAAAGTTTGTGATGCGTGTCCAAGAAGAGACCCTTTTTCCTGTCATGCAAAAACGCAGTTTGTCATGCGAAAAACGCAATGCAAAGAAGCGCAGATATTTCTTATGCTTGGCCAGACAACACATTCGTGGAGCCAGACAACAACATTGCACAGGAGACAACTCCATTTATGCTTGCACAGGAGACAACTCCATTTATGCTTGCACAGGAGGCTTCGTGGAGCCAGACAACTCCATTTATGCTTGCACAGGAGACAAGGCGTCCGCCACGTGAAGCCAGACAACACATTCATGGAATAGAAACAATTTTCCTTCGGTTCCTCAATTTCTGCTGCAACGCCACGCGTCTTCAGTAGATGCAGAAGTAGCTTAAGTAGCCAAGACGGTACTAAAATTCTGATCTGATTTGTATTTGCAATCCCGAGGTGGATCTCTCGGTCGTAAAGGAAAATCAAAGTAAAATGTATTTGATCCGAAAATGAAAAAAATGAAAGGTCGTGTGATGTGATTCGGTTTTTTTTTGTGTAAGCTCCACGACCTCTGGCATCGGCTCTGGATCTGGAAGGATAGAGCCACCATGGCGATCTGTCAAGATCAAGAAACAGAATCAATGAGCACCAATTTGCTCGCGATCGCAATTAAAAATTTGCTATATTTTGACTGGATCATGAAGACGAAGCGCTGGCACGCTTTTAGGCTCGACAGATGTAGTTGGTCTGGTATGTTCTTTATCTTTTGCGCAATTTTCTCCGTTCCATGTGGACCTATCGGTCAAACCAAGACGCTACTCGGTACAAAGTTAGCAACTCACGATGATGCAACAAATGATGAGAGCGATCAAGTACCTAACAAAATGATGACGTTCTACACCAAGAATGACAACACTAAAACACGAACCACGAACATCAGGCCCCTGATTATCCTAGTGATTAACCTCGCAATAGTTACGTCTTGAGCTACCCAAATAGGGTTCATTTACACACGACAGCGCCGGCGTTCAGAGCACGGGACCACATTCCAGCTCTAGCGCTAAGTTTAGCAGGAAGAAAGCAAGTACGTCCTTGCAGCATAGAGGTAGAGAGTTTATTCTAGAGACGACGACGAGTTTGTTCTCGATACAAATCTTACCGCAAGAACGCCCAAACCTAGAGTGTAGTAGACGCAAGTCAGTCTTCTATTTTCTTTTCTTTGCTTATGCTTATGTTGATTGTATGTCCATAAAATTCATCGCGGAGGTAAATTGATTTGGATACCGGACAGCCAACAAGCCTTGAACCCTAGCTCATTCTGCTCTGTCTGTGCGAACAACAAATTGTAATTGACGCGTCCTCTTGTAAGGTAATAAAAATCTTAAAGTGGGCTTTGTCTCTGTGTATTCTATTGTGAACCATAACTATTTTTGGTCGACGAGAAGTTTCTGTAAGCATCCGGCGCTACGAGTATGATGAATAGAATGAATTCGTGTGGGTCTTCGTGTGCCACAGAACAAAAAATGGTGGCTGTCGTGGCCGCTCTACTCCTGTTTGTTGCTCTACAGCCGGTTTGTGGGGTTGCGTTATCGTCGGCTCAGCGTCGCACACAGGAAGGCTCTGTTTCCGGTCTTGTTCAGCCGCAGGGAAATGGAAGTGCGCCCGAAGATTACCTTGTTTGGCCGGGTGGATTATTGCACGGTAGCCTTCGGCGCGCAATTGCAACATTCGGGCCCCCGCGCTCCACCACGCAGGATTGTTTGACGCCCACCTCCGCGCAGCATTCGGAAGACGAGCCGGGACGCGAAAGTTATCCCGAAGATCCTTCTACGGAACCGCAGCGCGAGCCGGTGCCGCCGGGCTGGGCTAGCGGCGGTATCAAATGTAAAAATGTCTGGGTCCTCTGGAAACTTGTGATGCTGGGTGGCGTCTCACGATGAGGCCACAAATGCTGGGTCAGCATCACAAGTTTATTCTGAGCTTCTAGGTGTTGCCTATTCTGCATGACAAACTGCGTTTCTGCATCACAGAAAATTGGAGCGCTTGGGTAACGTGCATGACAGATTTATTAAGAGTCATGCCAGACAAGTAGCATGACAAACATGCACTCTTCCAGACCCAGACATTTTTACATTTGATAGGCGGACTTTGTTTCGGATGTGGAAGCCCAGAGGAGTTCAAACAGGAGCTACAGAGGAGAGATGAATATAATCACTGCAAGCTGCCCATCATGTTTGTAAAAAAAATCCCCGGTACGTCGAACAAGTGGTCCGTGGACAAACTCGAATCAACCGTTCGGGACACCAACTGTGGCTGGGCAAAATTGGCGATCGACCTGGTCACTGACACTGAGCGTGGTCTCTGGTCCCTGGCCCCTCCGGGGCGTTTCAAGCTGCTTGAAAAGCACTGGATTGGGCCCCTCAAGATTCAACGTGGCGAAAAAGTGCGCTACGTCATGATTTTCCGCTATCTCCCGAAGGCCCAGAAGGCGCCGGAAGCACTGAAGTGGATCAAGCAGGATAAAATCCCGGCCAAAATTACCGTGTCGCACGCCTTGGTCGATAGCCACTATGTCTTTCAGGAGGAAGCGAGACCGACCACTGCGTCGCACATTATAGCTGGAGTCCATGTCTAGGAGCGACCATTTTTTCCAACCCAGGGTGACTGCGTGTCGAAAAATGGAAACGTCGTTAGAAGTCCAGGCACGATTCCTCCACATTGTCAAGAAGGGCGCAGTAAATTTGTGAAATCAAGTGCTGCAGGTGAAGATGCAAAATTACTTTCGATGTAAAATAAAGTGCTGCAAACGTGGTCAATTAGAATTTAGAAACTACAGCAAGAAATAAATCTATCCAAAGTATACTTAGTGTTTTCTACTTACAAGTCCGAGGCCCGCCTGAAAATCAAATACCCACTGCAAACAAATCTTCGACTGAATGCAAAAGAAGTTCCAATCGGCCACAGCAAGAACAAGTACGAACGCACACCAAGAGGAAGAGCAAGTACTAACGCAGCCACACTTCAACCAAATTTATTTTACGACGCACTACCGCCACCGTCGTGGTTTTTGAGAACAGACGAGATTTCTATATGGTGAATTTCAAGTCTACGCAGACTTCATTTTTTGGTGGTCTACTCAGAATTGCTATATGGTGGGCTACTCAGACTTCATTTTTTGAAAATTAACGTAGGTTGGCGTCTAGGACGCCAACCTATCAGTTTTGAAAGCAAGAACTAGCTGGGGTTTACGGAAAGCCGATCTACGAGGTGACTGGAGTTTTAGACCGTGCAGTATACCTGGCTGACCGCAATGGCTCGGCCGATATCCCGATGAAGAATCCGGTCAGCTTGGACAGAGTAACCGTGATCGGAAATATCGCCGAATACCGAAGGGACGACTACGCTTTCAAGGCTCGGAGCGGCTGCGGCTGGGTTCGGAGTATTTGCGTCTGGAGGGATTCCGCTACTGTCACGCTAGCAGAAGCGGCTCCCATGGAAGTCCGCTACCGGAAGTGGTTTTGGGATAATGAAGTCATACCAATATCCAGCATGCCAGCGCAGTAGGCGTCCTGGTGTAAAGCGGGGGCATTTGGGTAAATTCAAAATTGTGCTTTACCCCAGCCCGCCCGACAGTATGATACTTGTAAGATGAAAGTGCTAGATTAAACCACCGATGCTGGTGCTCACCTACTCACCGCGTTTTATAGAATTTATGTGATTTTGGACAGCACTGAAAATCGTAAGTCGTACTTCGTATCGCTATCGCAGGTTCTCTCTATCGTTTATATCGTCTTGATGACAAATCGTTGTAGCATTACAAATGGGGAAAATCGTTTCTGGGAGGCAATAGAATCGTATTTATTATCGGGCTACGTACATTGTTTGTCGTGGGGCTGAAGTCGTGAACTAGGGATTTGGGCCGAAGAGGATTTTCTTGGCTCAGGTTTCTCTTGCAGTTTCGACAAGGGCCACGTATAGTTTTGGAAATTAAAAAATACTCATCTACTTCTTGTTTCGCCTGGAAGTTCTATATTGTATGATGACAGTAAGATAGATTTTGAACAAATTACTTGTTGGTCTGTAATGCGGGTTTCGTCAGGATTCCCGGACTTTCGGCAAAAGTCCTGGGATCTTGAGTCCTCAGGACGAGAAACCGCTTTTCTAGAACAGAAGGAAGGGGGAAGAATTGTTTCTCTTTCCCCCGTTCCCCACTTACTACATGTACGATGGATGTTCTTTTATTGTTTTCTGGGTGTTTAGGATAGTCTGTTTTTATTTCTTCTTTTGTATGATTTTCAAACTCTGAGCTAGAGGAAATTTCTACGAAGACCGAGGGCATTACAAAGATAAAGAGGTTATTAGTTAAACGGAGAGGTAACCGGATACAGATCGGAACAAGAGCAAAGGGAAGGGGTTTGCACTGGGAGTCTTCGTAATCGATTGGGTGCTGCTAGTCGGGGCCAATCGTTTATTTGGGTAAATCTTCCATTTTGCTGGTTTTTAGGTCGTCTTGCTTCCTGCCCCGACCACCCCCAGACCGGTGGTCGCGGAGCAACTTCATATTTTTATTTCATTTTGCTGTCGAGGTGGACCTTTCGTGACGTCCACCCAAATCAAAGAATTCGGTCGTGATTAGCAAGACAAATATATGTTAGATCTCGCAAGCCCCAGACTTGCCGCAGATCGAAAACAGCGTTACAAATTGGCCAAAGGATCAACCTGACGATCAAAAGCATCAGCACGATCGCAGGTTCCGGAAATCCTTTGCCATGTCGTGTAGTACTGATTTCGCTCGCAAAATAGCCGTAGACCACTCTGCCGCTCACTAAATGTTGAGCGCGATCACAAAGGGAAAGAGGAGAAGCCGCATCGTCGCCAAATGGTCGAAATATGCATGACAGACTGCTGTCGGGCATTTCCGAGCAGAACGGCCACCAGCATTACAGCCTCATGTTTTGTTTGTCCACCTTCACTACAGATGCATTAGTTTCTCCACGGGAAACTATTAGGGCTTGTATGCATTTCAGCATTACAAATTATTCTAGCTTACCTCTAAACACCCTAATACGGGCACAAACGGCATAGCTTATTTTGGAAGGAAAGGGAAAACCTAAACTACACACGAGAAGCACCGGAGTGCATTACAAATTGGATACTGCTCTGATTCCTAGTAGTGTTCAAATTCGTCGTGACTTTTCTTTTGCGTCTCTTGTCTTTGGGGTCGTTGGGAAGCCTACGCGTGAAAGAAGCCAATCGTCAAAATCCGGTGGAGTCACACGTTAGCCGCCCTAGGGTTATACTTACACCACCTGTAAAAAAATCGCCGGAAATTATTCGCCGCTCCTATATCGAGTGGGTGTCCAAGCTTTAAGCCAAATTTAAATTTTACGACGCACAACTACCGCCACCTTCGTGGTTTTTGAGAACAGACAAGGCGTCCGCCGCGTGAAGCCAGACAACACACTTCTCGCGGAAAGAAACTACTATCACGATCGACTACCATGCGCACGCAGCAAGAACAGATTTTTGCACCCATCTGGCGCGTCGTGGAGCTTGTTGGGCTTGGCGCTACCACGACAGGCTTGCGATGTTCCTGTAGTTCCCCCTTCGTCTAGAGCCTACCTGTAAACTGTTCAGAGGATCATGGTCTCGATCGGATCTTCTATGTGTCTAGATGTCGCCTGTTCCGCTGAGGCACCATCATGCGCTGCTCAGTTTGACGCTCATCTCACTTTTGATGGCGCACGGCCGGCAGCCTGAGTGATTTATAAGTACTTTTTCTTTTTGCCAAATTTCCCAGGACCAACACGGACTCTTCCAGCCGCATCCCGATAGATTTGCAGGAAATCACTACCACACATGATTCGCGCATTAATTACGGTGAGTTTGTTGGGCTTTCGCTTTTTTTTCTTGGTACATCCTGTCAACCGTAACTCCTAGGTCTAGAGCGATTTTTGTGTCTTCCCTGTCCCTGCTCTCTCTCCCCAGAACAGTCCTAAGGCTAAACAAAGATGCAGCACTCCGCCACCAAAACCATCGGTCCCCTGGCCGTTATAACCGGCGCATCGCGCGGAATCGGCCGGGCGATTGTGCAGGAAATTTTACACAAACAACCAAACACGACTGTTCTCGCTACGGCGCGTGATTTGTCCTATTGGCGAGAGTCGACTTCTTTCGCTTCGGAAGAAGAAAAGACTCGGCTACACCTATCAAATGCAAAAGTGTCTGGGTCTGGAAGCTTGCCAGGTTTGTGATGCATATTTTGGAAGACTCATGATGTCTGTGATGCATGCTAGAGCATGACAGATTTTTCGAGGCCTTTGTGATGCCTCTACCGCATGAGAAATGCCCGCTCCACGTAGCACAAACTGGACTCCTTTTGCTGGTCATGCAATACAAAGTTTGTTAGAATCCAGAGACAGCATTACAAATTTAGAATCTTCCAGACCCGGACATTTTTACATTTGATAACACCTGATCGAGGGCGATTTGACGGAGAACTCGACGGTGAAGCGGATTTCTCATATCAAATGTAAAAATGTCTGGGTCTGGAAGGTTGCAACTTGTGATGCTGTCTTTGGAAGGTAAAAAAATCTGTATTGCATGACCAGCAAGAGGAGTTCAGTTTGTGCTACGCGGAGTGGGCGTTTCTCATGCGGAATACGCATCAGAAGGCCCTTTAAAAATTTGTGATGCTCGGCCATGCATTACAGGCATCACGGGTTATGCAAAATATGCATGACAAACCCGGCAATCTTCCAGACCCAGACATTTTTACACTTGATATCTCAAACCGTGGCGCAATTATTAGAAGACAGCAGGGGCTGGGCGTTCCAGGGCGACATATCAGGTGAAGAATACGATGAGGAAGGTAATTACACTGCCGACAATTTTTCCGTTCTCACCCGACCAAGGTGCCGGTTAGATCTTCTAGTCCATAGTTGCGGCACCATTCACCCAATTGTCCGCACGAGCAATCTCTCCACTGAAGTTGATGCCGAGAAGACAATGGATGACGTATCCGGTGCAAAAGTATCGTACTCGTATAAATGCATTACAAATTCCCTCAGCATGAGCAATAAAATTTGTCATGCGGATTTACCTTAGCAAAAAAATTTGTAATGCATGACTGCAATTACTACGAGTGCGATTGCGATACTTTTGCACGGGATAAGACGAGTCGGAAACCGATGAGTTTCTGGAAGAATTCAGAGACGCGATGAACACAATATAGCGTTCTCATCTGTTACATTCTCAGCTGTATACAACATGAATTTGTCATGCAAAAGTACCTTAAGCCGGCAGATGATCGAGCTGCTTCGCATGACAAATTTCGGGAGGGCTAGACAGCATTTAAATCTGCGCCAAACTTGTGATGCAAAAGGTGCAACCTTCCTCAGGAGGAAGGTTGCGCCTTTTGCATTACAAATTCATGGAGGTCCTCAAGGAGGACCTCCTTTGACTTTTGCCAGTCTTGCATTGCAAATTCATGCAACAGTTGAGAATGTAGCGTTTGAGAATGCGATACACAAATTTCTTCTCCGCGGTGGAGCTGACACAGAACCTATTGCCTTTCTTCAAGGAAAACAGACTCATCAAGACTTCGGCTGGTAGAACAGGGTTGTATCTCCGAAACGGGACTTTCGTTGCGGACGCGTCATTGTCGACGGAGAGTAGCGATGAGGGTCATTTGAAGCAGCAGCAGCGTCCACTGATTCTGTTCATGAACTCCGCCGCCGCGACGTTTTTCACAACGCCAGGTTGGGCGGCGTACTGCAGCACCAAAGCGGCACTATTGCAGTACGCAAAAGTGTTGGCCATGGAGAACAATCACCAGGGCATTGACGTCCTGTCCTTAGCGCCCGGACTGGTCGACACGGACATGCAAAGGGACATCGCTACAGAGGGGAAGAAACTAGTCGATTCGGCGCCGAACACGTTCGAGGAAGAATTACAGCACGACAAAGAAGGAAAGGAGAAAAATAAAACGGTGATGGACAAGGAGCTGTTAGAGAATCTAGAATCCCTCCGACTCAGGAAAGACATGCGGAAGCCGAACTCGGTCGCGGAAATTTGCTGCAGAAACATCTTTATGCAATGCAAAAGCAACGTACTAGTATGAATTGCATGACAAATTTTTCCGGGAAGAAAAATGAAGCTTCAAGTTTGTCATGCAGTTCAGGTAACAAAGCATAGCGCACCTGTAGTGCTAGACTCGCACTTAATATACGAGTACGATACTTTTGCAGTGCATAACCTTTTTTGATAAAACCATGAGAGAGAAGCTTGCGGAGAAATTGAAAGGGTTTTTGAACGGGGAATTAACGGAGCTGGTGGATATTGAGAAAGAGGTTTCTGAAATCGAAATTGCCGATCTGGAGATGCAGGTGTGATGAAAATAGATGTCGGACGACTGGGACTGTTTATTCTTTCGCTCATTTTTGTGCTGACACACATCGTACTGCTGCGGCATGGAAGACCGTAGCAATCGAACTTTGTCATTTTCTGGACAAAGCCACACTCGTCGACAAATTTTTTTGCTGATGAGTGCTCTGACGAGCACATGAATTATACGTTGTAGCGATGACTAGATCCGGAAAAAAGAAGTCGCAGGATCCGAAAGAACTACTGGATTGAAACGCGAGAATTCTATCGCAAAATCTAAAAATGCAAGTGAAAATAAAGTTCCGCATGACGAGTTCTCCGTTCTGTTATCCGAGAAAAAATCAGCCCTGATTAAGAAAGATCACTGAGCTCAAAGGTGTTTCATGTCAAGAACCCAAATGTTGCAAAAATAAAAGTGAGTAGAAGTTAAATTTAAAGATCATGAATCAAGACGGCATGGCATGGTGCCATCGTTTATCCACCTTCTTGATTGATATGCTCCTGCAGTCCAAACAATGGCGTTACTACGGATTTGTTGAACTACAAGTAGAAGTTAAGTACACAAGTAATAGGAACAAAACAGAAAGTTTGTTTTACGGAAGTGTAACTTCGAGTAATTTTTATCGATCCCCCTATAATTTTCCAATTCATTTTCATTTGAGGAATTCAACTTCGACTGCGCATGACAAAGTGAAGAAACTACGCAAAGAACCAGAGTATCCAGTACGACTCCAAAATGTCACAAGAACTGCAACCTTATCAGAACGAGGGAGCCAGTACCCCCTCCTCCTCCACCCGGACAAGAAATGGCACCAAAACAACCAAGAACTCAATGCTCCGCATCTCCTACGGTTTTTCCGACGATCTCCAGTTCCAGCTCCCAATTGCTTCTCCTGCGGTTGTGAAGAACAGCCTTATCCTTCTTCTGAGAGAAAAAGTTCCCTTCTTTCCTGGTGGGACAAATCGGTTGCCGCAGTATTTTACCTACCAAATGGAACTGGATGACGTGGCTGATCATACGGAAGATAGTGCTCCTGCACGAGGTGGGCCCAATCGCAGCTCTACTAAAACTGCTTCTCCACCGCACAGTAGAGATAAAAGAATAAACCCAACAATAAATAACTCCAGACGCCTTTCCCTCCCTACCCGGCGGAATTTGAAGACCAAACTGAATTCTGCCAACTTCATGTGGTCGCCGAAGATGATGCGACTGTTCCACGAAACCTGCGTTTTTCTGGTTGATTCAGAAACCGGGGAGCACTACAATGAGGTTTTTTTCAAGGTGCTGGAGCAAACGAAATGCTGTACTGCGAAGATGAGAGTGAAGAAGAAAACCACTTCTACTCTTTCAGCGAGGAAAAAGCAGAAAACAGGTGGCAAAGCGACCTCCGCTAGCGGTCGTGTTTACGAAGATTCTGCTGAAGATGTTGTTGCCTCGGCGAGTGAGGAAAAGAAAAATGATGTTGACAATAAAGAGTCAGAGGAAGAGACGATAATGATGTCACAACGGCACAATGCGAGCAGCGACGCTGAGGAACTAGTGCCCGGTAGTCCGGCGGGCAAGAGAAAGAGTGCCGAAGAGGAAGATAATCGTCCTGAGAATGAACTAAACAACCCTTGTGCCGAAAACAACGGCTGCCCGCGGAAAGCCCTTCAGGCACGAAAAACAACAAGCACCTGCGAAGAAGATGAGAACAACCATTTGAACAAGACCTCCAGTGGTCCAACGCCCACCACTTCTCTCTGGGAAGACAAGCTAGCCAGCAGAAATTGGATGGTGTGCATCCGGCCCTTCTACTTTCGCGAGAAATGGCTGAGCGACGCCGACGAGGTGGATACTTCTGATTCTTTTCCGGGAATAGATATTCTATCCGAAGATATTTTCGCGGAATGCAACATGGGTCCGCTTTCGCGATGCTACGCTGCAACAGCGATATGGGATTTTGCAAATGGCAGCCAGCAAACACCAGACAAGCTCTTCGGCAAAAACAAGCACGGTCTCGCTATTTCCGTTGCGTTACGCGGCAGCCAGGAGGACGAATCGAAAATAACATATCGCTGGGCTAGCCGCAAGTGTGGAGTGGCACTGAAGTGTAATTTTGAGCTCTGCCGGGAGATCCTACAGACCGGTACGCCCTGCGGCTCCTTTATCTCCTGGGCCCATCAACTTGGAAATAAGTCCTGGGCGGAGTTATTTGCGATTGGGCTGTTTTTCTCAACGGAAAACGAACGAAAAGAGCTGCAAAAGTTGTACTTCTCGGACGCTTTCCAGGCTGATTTACACAAGAGGCAAGCCTGGGAAAACATGTCGCTCGACACCATCTACGGGCTGGAGTTAGAAGACCTGCGACACAAGTGCCCGGACAAGTACAATGCGGGATGGAGCCTGCGGAAGAGAAGTCCTTGGTTACTGTCTGAAGGGCGATTGTCTGACGGGTTTTGGCAAACTTTTTACCATTATTTCCCCAGAGAAAATTTCCGCTACTTTTCCGTCTCCCCCCGGGCGCGAATCGGGCCGGCCTGGGACGACAACGGTGTCCAGGCGAACGGTTTCGGGAAGAAAAAAAGAACAAAGAGTCTGCCCTGCAGAGTTGGGAACAAGAAAGAGAAAAATTGCAGGGGGAATATCGTGATGCCGCAGGGTGTCGAGGACAAGCGAATGATGGAACCCTATGTGTCGTTTGGGAAATTACACGCACTGATAAAGCAAATAGGATAATGAATAACTCAAGCTGTCGGCCTCGGCTAGATCGTGGTGTTGTATCCTCGAGCTGAAGATTATATGCGACGAGAAGCAAAGTTTGTTGAGACCACTCTGACTCGTCACTGTGTCTATGTAGAAGTCGTGACGAAACGATGATGAAATATTAGTTGCTCATAAAAGTAGATTGTTCGGGTTTATTGTGCAAGAAAACTATTGGCGCACGACACTGTCGACGAAAATAGCCGCTGCTGTTATAATTTGACAGCGAAGCGCTCTGTTCCTGTTGCAGCAGCAGGAGCTACTTCTGCAGTGCAGAGTTCAACTCTGTTGCGCCAGCGGTCTGATTAAGATGAGCAGACCCTCACTGTTGTTCACACACCAAGGCTGCGCCTGCTCTCCTGATTTCAGGACGTTGTGTCCAGGTCCATTGCGACGTTTTCCAAAGATCAAACTTAGACTAATACTGAGATGGCCGTGTTGGCGAAGATCTCGTCTAGTAGTTTGAACCGCGACTAGAGCCACCGTTTTCAGTATTTAGTCGAGTATAGAAGGACGGCAAGCAGCACAAAAAGGAGGACCGCATAGTAAAGAGTTCCATGGCAGCGACAATAAAGAAAGTGATAGACAGAGCATATCTGTACCTACATTGTAGTCCTAGTGGCGACATGAACCCGTAGTACCGGTTGAAGATATAATTTCTACACCCTGAAACAATGCTGACTTAATACCTTAGGACGACCACTAGTACTCATTGTAAAAAAAAAAAGAAAACGCATAGATATACAACACCCTGAATCTTCTATTACTTCCCTTAGGACGACTATTTTCCTATCGTGAAAGAAACGCAAGCGGATCTATGTATGTTCAAGGTCACAACTACTTGATTTTCATTTTTCTACGACAAGTCCGAGGATATTAAGCGTAAGAACCCAGAAGTAGACACGCACCCTGATCGGTTTCCAAACAGGTCGTGTATCGTACGAATTTCCAAAATTGGCGGACATTCGCTGCACTAGTCTGAAAAAAATATCAGCAAAATCAAGATGGCTGAAACGCAGCAAAACAGGACGAACACCTACACCTACTCCACAATGCAGCTGCGTATTTCCTACGGCGTCTCCGACAACATGGTTTTCCACGTACCGGTCGGCGCTCCGGATGTTGTGAAAGACACTTTGATCCTTCTATGCCCTGCAGAACTATCGCACTCGTACTACTTAATCGCAGTCATGCATTACAAAATTCTTTCTCATGTCAAATCCGCATTACAAATTTCATTTCTCATGCCAAGAAAATTTGTAATGCGATTTATCCTAGTGCGATTAGCATTAGGATGCTTTATTTGCAGTTCATAGCTTCAATTGCGTGACAGTATCCCGTTTTTCCCCGGCGGTGGCGGCACGAAACGGCTTCCCGAAATCTTTATCGAATGCAAAAGTGTCTGGGTCTGGAAGGTTGGAACTTGTGATGCTAACTTCGGGCTCTAAAAAAATCTGTATTGCATGACCAGCAAGAGGAGTTCAGTTTGTGCTACGCGGGGACGGCGTTTGTCATGCGGAGTAGGCATCAGGAAGGGGTCTAAAAATCTGTGATTGTAGGGCATGCATCACAAACAATCCTGGGTGGTCATGCAAAACATGCATGACAAGTCTCAGAACCTTCCAGACCCAGACACTTTTGCATTTGATAATCTTTGGGCACCAGCTGCGGGGGCCTTTGGCGAGGAACAACCAGGGCGCAAACAAGTTTCCACGACCACGTCAGGACTTCCCTTGGTCGGCGCAGCTGCTGAAAATTTTTCACGACGCCTGCGTCTTGATAGTCGATGCGGAATTATCACGAGAAAAAAGTATTACAGTTACACATTTGTTGGAGTTTCTGCATCGCAAATTTTCTCTGTGTGGCAGAGAAAACTTGTAATGCGGAGATCATAAGGGAAAACACAACAGGAAGGAAACGAGGCTCCCAAGCATTTCCTGCATGACGAAGGTTGTCTCTGTTGCCGGTCTTGCATCACAATGTGTAACTGTAACACTTTTTTCTTGTGATAGGAATCGGGAGATGAGTATTGCGTGGTGTACGCAAAATTGCAGCACGACGAGGAATATCAAATGCAAAAGTATCGTACTCGTCCAAATGCAAGTCTTGCATTGCAATTTTTTTTCTTAAGGTAAATCGGCACTACAAATTTTCTTTCTCATGCTGAGGGAATCTGTCATGCATTTCTACGAGTGCGATAATTTTGCAATGCATAAGGAGCGACCTCTACTACAGGAGGCGAGGACCACGCAGGACGTAGGCCGGCGCACTGGTCGTGAGAGGACTTCTGCCAGTTCCTCAAATAAACGGAGGACAAATAATAACAAGCGGAAACGATCCACCTCTCGCAGCAGAAGGTTCTCGTCACGCAGGGATGGAGGTGAAAAAAAGCGTAAAGAAGCTGTACCTAGTACGTCAGCTGCAGACCGGACGGGTGCGGGCGGACAAGGGGACGGGACCAGGAATGCAAGGACTGCAGCTACCGAAGTCGCTGCTGTAGGTGGTGGAGCGGAACAAGCAGCGCACGACGAGGTTCTGCTTCTGGAAGTATGGATTGCAAAAGTAATATCGTGGTTGTACAACTCGTTGTACCAATCGCAAAAATCGCTGTCATGCATCATCGATCTAGGTCTTGAATACAACCCGAGTCTGCATTTTATCTTCTTGACAAAATCGATTGTCATGCAATAGCAATTTTTACTAGTTGGTACAACTAGAATTCGATATTAGTAGTTTTGCAATATGCATAGCAAGAGGCACTCTGCAAGAAAAATTGGATGGTTGTGATACGGCCATTCTATTTTCGGGAGGAGTGGGTAACTCTGCCCCCCGAATTCAGCCCCCCACTTAATGTGCTTTGCACAGATGACAAAGGAAAAGTGCACTCGCTGTACACCCGAGGAGGTGAGTACGTTTTTTTATCCTGTGCAAAAGTATTATACTCTTTTGTAGTCCTCGCAGTCATGCACTACAAATCTCTTTTGCTTTCCCAAGGCAAATCAGCATGACAAATTCCATTTGTAATGCTGAATTTGTATTGCAAGAATTACTACTAGTACGATACTTTTGCACTTGATATTTTTCGGCGGCTTACGAGTTGGAAAGGTTCCGCAAGTACTATCATGCCACCTGCTTATGGGACTACGGGATATCCTGTGCAGAAGTATAAATTACAGCTTGGATGGCCGTTAGAAATTAGGCAGGTTATTTTGCGGAGATTTTACACTGTTGCTAGAATTTCGCCGGCGTTGGGGGGAAAAAATACGAACCAGCTTTCGGGCTCAGAATTTTGATTGCAATGTGGGTCCTTCTTGTGACCCCTTCTGGTGGCCTCTTCTTAGTTGCGTCTTCCCCTGCTAGCAGTGTGGGTCCTTCTTGTGTCCGAAGGCAGAGACGAGAGTCTCTGCATTCGGCCACAACGGACGCGACGAATTGACTTTCTGGCTTCATAGATTTTTGCGGAAAATTTGCTTGGTTATTTTATGAAAAGCTGCTTTTTTGCGCGCCGGTTATTTTATGAAAATGTGGACTGTGCCGCCGTGATTAGATTTTTGTGCGGGTGTTCGTTCGTAAAATAACCAGCCGCAGTCTTGTAAAATAACCCGTAAAATAACCAAACGCGCAGTCAGTCCCATTTTCGCCCTTCTGTAACAGCGTAATCGCGATGGTAGCGCGCGACAGAAAAACCGACAATATGGGGCGTTTTCAACTCTAGTCCGATGGTGTGCGTGATTTCCTGTCTAGTTTGCGCGTGCAGGCCCCAAAAGATTAGCAACGCAGGTAGCTTGTCGCGGTCACTAGTCAAGGCATGAGCAGGATGGTTGGAAAGGGAGGCGCTGATGGTTGACGATGTAAAATCTCCGTAAAATAACCATTGTGAATTCTGATCGATGTCCAAGCTCTAAAGTATAAATACTCGTACTAATTGCGACGTTTATGCATCACAAATCTCTTTTTCAAGGTGAATCGGCATTACAAATTTAAATTTGTAATGCTGAGCTAATCTGTTATGCAATTTATAGTAGTAGCTTTTGCATTGCATAGTAGATTTTTATAAGTACGACGCTTTTGCATTGCATACGGGAACAAAGGAAACACGAATCAAAAAATCAAGCAGCTCTTCGAAACCAGGATGAACGCCGAGGATCAGCGAAATCTTCGCAAATATATATGCGATGCAAAAGTACAAGCGTGCTCGTAGTGGTTGCGATCATGCATGATAAATGCCATTCCTACAGAAAAATCAGCATTACAAACTCCATTTTCAACATCGCTCTTGGAAAAAGTTGTATATGCAATTTCTACTACTACAACTAAACTACGATGCATAATATAGTACGTTTGCAATGTCGATAGAGTAACGACTGGGAAAAAAGCGTGAGTGATTTCGAAGCGAGGGCGCTTGGGGCGGTATCAAATGCAAAAATGTCTGGGTCTGGAAGGTTGGAACTTGTCATGCTAAATCCGAACCATGCAAAAATCTGTGTTGCATGAGTACCAAAAGTAAAGCCGTCCACTTTTGACCAGGGCGAAAGGGAGTTTCTCATGCAGGGTAGGCATGATAGGGCTGTCACAGAATCTGTCATGCTAGGTCCTGCATTCCAGACGACGCTGATCATGGAAAATCTGCATGACAAGTCTCGCAATCTTTCAGACCCAGACATTTTTTCACTTGATAGGCGTCGGTAAATTGCAACTTCCACTTTTGCCTGCAGGCGTTCGAAGAATCGGCTAGAAGCGTCACCCAGTTCGATTATGAAGAAGAATCGATTTGTTTATCCAAAAACCCCTGGTGCGAATTTTCCCTCTTGCCGCAGCTGTTTGCGATCGGCGTGTTCTACTCCACTGCGGAGGAGAGAAAGCAGGTGGCAGAAAAGTACCGATCCAGATTCGGGCCCGAGCAGCGGTTCGTGGCGGACGCGAAGAAAGAGATCGTATGCAATGCAAAAGGAAAAGCATCGTACTAGTATTAAGCGCATGTCAAATTTCCTCAGCATGAATAATGAAATTTGTATATGCGGATTCAATTTGAGAAACAAACTTGTAAAAAAATGTAATGCATAACTGCGATAAAAATTGCTACGAGTGCGATAGTTGTACTTTTGCACAGGATAGGTCAACGGTTTTGTCATCACCGACGCCGGAAAGCAGTCCGGCAGATTCACGAAGAACGAATGTGACCTCGGCGCCTTTACGGAAGGAGGCGCCCTGTACAATCGAATTGCCGCAACTGGGGAATATCGCAAGAAAAAACTTTTTCACCGTGAACTTGTGATGCAGAGAATGGAGCGCAGAACGATTTGTCTTGCTACACCTGCCTAGAGCATTGGAGTTTTAATAAGCGTGTTTCCACTATGGGAAATTATGCGCGCATGGCAAATTCTCTGTGTCATGTGTAACAAACTCGTGATGCAGATCTTGCAAGATCTTCACAGTGAAACAGTTTTTTCGTGGGATAGAGAAGACGGTACCGGTACTAAGTTGTACGAAAATGCAGGATATATTGTGGACAAGCGACGGAAACCCCTGCACGTCGCATTTGGAAAGTATGCAGTGCAAAAGTATGACCGTACTAGTACAAATTGCATTACAACAAATTGACTTAGCATCAAAAATTATGATTAAAGAAAATGTGTAATGCGGATTCGCCTTAGCAAAAAGATTTGTAATGCATAAACGCGGTTAGTACGATGTTTTTGCACTGCATAGAAGGCTGGATGCGCTGATCAAGCAGATCGAAGTGGCGGACGAGAGGAACAAAGCTGGGATGTGAATTCTCGCAACAAACGAGAGAAAACTGATCTTCTAGTAAAACTAGATAACACTGATCTTCTACCTTCTGCGGACGTCGGGGAGGCCTCATCCTTTCCGGGATGTTCTTATAATTTTTCAACTACCCTAATATTATACATTTTTACTTATGCAAAATCGGCCTGCGATTGCGAATTCATCTGGATTCGAAATACCTATAGTTTCGCCGCATGTTCTTCTTTTGCAGGGAGCCGTCCCCTGATCTGCTTGTGCTTTTAAATTTGCATCCTGATTCATCTATGTGTCATAGTTTCCAGCCCTGCCCAGAACCGTAGGAGTAATAGAGCCAAGGGACCAGGAACGAGAGATGAGAGCCGCATGTGAGTTGTTGTGGAGCGCTGTTCAATTCAATTATAATAACAGTTTGCACAGCAACAAGAGCAACGGATTTTTTTTTTCCGACGGAGCGCAGATAATTGAGGAGGTTGAGTTGTCAAGTAGCTATTAGAAGACCTGCACTTACTGTATTTGCAACATCACTTTCGCCTTGTCATGATACATATAAGTAGTTGTTTTACCCAAGGGCAACTTCTTGTCCGCACCGTACGATGTAAAAAGCGGGCTGTCGCCCCGTGTAAGAGACGTACAAACAGTCTCGAAACGAAACAAAATGCTGACCCACTTCACCCGTCCCGCGCTGGTGAGCGCAGCAGGAAAAGCACCTGCCCCGAAGATGCTGTTGGGGCGAACAGCAATAGGACATCAACTCGCTACTGCTTCATCTGCTACACGACCAGTTGCACTACAGCACCTGCCCCGCGCAACACCCTCGAGTGGCGGTCTTTTCCGCTGCTCCAAGCCAAAACACGGACACATGTGGGACTACTGGGACGGCCCCTGGTACAAATTTTGGGTATGCATTGCAAAAGCATAATCGCACTATAGTAAGTTCTTGCAGTCGCAATCGTGCATGACACATCTCTCTACTCCTAGGTAAAATCAGAATTGCAAATCCCACTTTCTAACGTTGTGGGAAATAAATTTGTGATACACGAAGCACGACTGGTGCGACCACATGATTTTGCAATGCATATTGTGCTTGGGTAAGCAAGAGCTACGCCGAGGTGCCCATGATACCGCCGGTGCCACGGATGGTGGCACAAGGGGTGTTGACCGCGGGCTTTCTGATCGTGTTTATCCCATGGGCGTATTGATACAATCTTTTTTCGATTTTCTTGTATTACTGGTTGTGCATGAAGAGACTCTTTGTGTCTTTAGACCAGGATCTGCTTCTGCATGACAAGACTTCTCATCAAAGAAAACCAAAACAGTGCCTCCGTCGATCTCCTCCCCTTCTACCGTTCGAAGGGTTTGTTGACTTTGAAGCAGCGCATGGAAGGGCACTACGATCGCGTGGATACTGGTTTTGCCTACAACGACTTCGATTTGGGTGGAGATAGAGCGGTGGACAAGCTGCCCGAGTCGAGCAAAGGTATAGAGACGAGTGTTTTATTATGCGCAAATCATGCATGGCAGATTGGTTTCGCTTGTGACAAGTGTGTTTCGCATGTATGACAAAATGGAAATGGCCTGTGTGTTTCGCATGACAAATTATTCTCTATCCCAGGTAAAATGCGTCCGTACACGCCAACGGAGTGGATGACCGAGGGGCCGATGAACCCAGCACCAGTGAGTCCGAACAAAATCCCAGAACAGAAGCTCTTTCTCGGCTGGAGGTCCTTCAGCTGGTACGAGGGGTTGCACAATGATTCGCCATAAAGTCGTTCTTCTGGCGCTACGGCTACGAGTAAAATGATAGAGTTGAATTCCACCTCGCGTGGCAGTGGAAATCAAAAATCAAAACTGAACTCAGAACAAAAGTATATGATTCACAGATAAAAGATCTCCATGAAGAAAGAGAGAGAAGAAACCCGTAAGATGAAAAGCTTTTACATTTTTGTTTTTACAAAAAATCGGAAGACCTAGTAGCCCCTGTCACCACAATGCTCCAGGGACTAGAGTGCAGCGCGTTGCGTTTCCGCTCGTGAACGCCACGTGAAAGTAAGATCCACTGTAGTTTGTGTTTGTGTTTTTCGTATACTTACGAGAAAGCTGATCCTGATCTTCTGTTATTGCGTTGTAGTTATACCAGGAACTGCGGTTCGCTTTTGTCTTTGGTCTTTGTGAGGTCTATTCTCTTAGCAGACTTGTTTGCTACAAATCGTACCGGATCAAGATCTGTTTCGGAACAAGGTTTCAGTAATATGCTTTTTCTTGATCACAGCAGCGTGCCTCCAGTGTGGGGATCATCAACGCGAAGAAGATTCTGATGAGAGTACAGCAAAAAAGCGTTTGTAGAAGTAAAAACCGGCGCAAGAACCACCATGACGGCGTCTTCGTTTGGTTCCAATTCCAAAGAGCCGACGGTCGTTTTGCAATCTGTTGTCTCAGTCCCTGGTGATTTGCACGTTGCGGGAGGCGGTAGTTCTACTGCTGCAGAGAGCAACGGGCTGCAAGAGGAACACTGCCCCGGTGCAGCTGCGAGGAATAAAACCATTGCGGCCACTTATCTTCATCCCGATCGTGCAGCAAAACCGCGCTCCACCCGCTCTCTCGCGGTCTCATCTTTACTCTTCCAACTGTTGACGCTTTTTCTCCTAAAAGCGGTTCTGTGGGCGGCCGTGTCGTCCTCCGAGTTTCCTTTCCCGGGATTGAAAAATAAACAATCACTGCTTCAACAAGACCAAGAGCTCCTGCAGCAGCGACTGATTCTCGCGCCAGCCGGGAGCCTGCCGATCTCCCCGGCTGGGGAGCAGCTGCAGCATGATGCACCGGAGCCTGTATCCTGCGCAAATATATCGTATTCGTATGAAAATTGCAGTCATGCATTACAAGTCTTTTCTTTAAGGTAGAACCGCATTACAAATTTTATTTCTCATGCTGAGGAGATTTGTAATGCATTTATATGAGGACGATACTTTTGCAATGCATAGCCTGGGTTTTTTGACCACTCGCACGAATCGAGCCCGGCACGGTCGGTGGAGATGGAAACCGGGAGCGCGACGGGGGATGTGAATGGAGATGAGAATAATCAAGCGGCGGCGCAAGCAGATGAGCAGGAAGGGCGTGAGGCGCGTGGTCCTACAGAAGGAGATGGAACCAGGAGAGCGAGCGAAGAGTTGCAAGCCCTCCAGAATGCAGGAGGAGCTTCCGGTGCTGGTAGTACCGCAGATAGGCATGGACCACTCGCAGCACCACCAGAGGAGACCCAACCCCAACAACACCAGCGACAAGAGGAAACTGAAGAGCCACAAGACCACCAGCAGCCGCGCATGCCGGACCGGAGTTTGTCAAAAGATACGAGAATGTCGGAGGTAAGTGAACCCGGAACCATGTTTGGCGACAGCACGGGGACAAGCAATATGAATATGCTGCAAAGCGGAACAACAACGATCGCGCAGGGCGGGCAGCACGTGACCAGGACGCACTCATTTTTGCAATCGATTCAAGATCAGGACGGAAGAGAGGACGAGCAAACTGGTGCTCTTGATCCGTTTTTACTGCAGCCGATAGCTTCGCCACCGGGGCCGCGGGGGTTATTTCCAGGTGCAGTTGATGGTCGAGAGCAGCAGCAGCAACAGCATTCTTTGAACATCGCAGTGCGTGGCGCACATCTAGATCCCCAGCAAGGGCCTCAGGACGAGCACAAGCAGCACTTGGGCATTTTCTACGTGATCAGCCTGACTCTGCACTACGCAACGGCGATATTGTTGTTATGCTTTTTCGCGAAAGCAGCGTGTGAACGGGAAGCGGAACAAACGGAAGGTGCGTCGAACACATCAACTGCTGGATTTACTAAACAGCTGCGAGACGGCACTACTAGCACAGCCACTGAAGCAGGAGCCATGAAGGACAGCACAGCGGACCACGCGTCCAGTACTATGAAAGAGGACAGCATGAAAGTAACCCGGTCTGACCACCAGGACCAGCAGGTGGCAGATTTGTGTCGGGATCTTGGCGCCACGACGATGACGAAAGAGGAAGTCGTATCCTATGTAAAAACGTCCCCACCCCAAAGTTGTAATTTCTCTGTGCTTTAAATTTGGTCTTTTCCAGTACATAAACACCCCAAAGTTGCAATGCAAATCTGCATGCTGAAAATGTTTCTCATGCGGTGCCCCATGACAGGCATTTGCTATTAAATGCTATCTGGTAGTTTGTCATGCTGGAATCAGGATAAGGCACCCAATTTGTCATGCGGCTGGACTAGCTAAACAGGATTACACTACGAGCCCAAACCTGTCATGCTCGACAGCCAAAACTTGGGGATTTGTGTTGCAGATTTGACAACTTGACTATGGGGTGGGGACGTTTCTACTCAGGATAAGTCGCGAAAGCAAATAGCAGCACGGAAGATTCCGCGAAGATTAACAGTTGGAACGTGGGGGAAGATAGGAAGAGGTGTGAGGAAATGCAGAGGAAGTACTTCGGGACAGCGCAGCACACAGCAACGAACGGTGGGAACGGCAGAAATCATAGCTATGGGACGATGGGGACGAGGAGTAAAACAAGACTGGCTGCTGACCCGGAACCCGCGTCTTCTGATAGCATGGCGTACAGCGCCTCCGAAGTGGAGCAGCAGAATACTGTTATCCCTCCCGCCAAGCCGAAGCGACAACCTTCTCCGGTGGTCTCAACAGCCGCGATACCACTCCCGATGCCCATCCCGCTTGCCCACGCTCAAGCCGCCGCTGCGATGGAGCACCAACACCTGAATCTTCATCATGCCATTGGAAATAACAGTAGAGCGCCGTCAACCCGCGTTATTAACAAAAAGCAAAGCAGCCCGGATTGCTCGGCTTCTTCCGGAAAACGGAGGGCTGCAACAAATGGAGTTCTTGCCTCCGCCCGGTCAAGTCCACAGAAATTCGTTTTAGACAAGAATCAGAAGAAGAAATCAAAACGGCAGAACAGTGCTGAAACTTTGCAAGAGAATAGCGAGGTGTTTAACAACACCGGGGATGCTGCAAGAACATCCAATACAACAAGCGGCAACAACAGTACTTTGGCCCTAGCTGCACACGGAAATAAGCACAACTCTTCTTCCAGAACGAACCAGTTCTGTGAGTACATCTTTCTCTTGATGAACGTTTCCCAGCTCTTTTACCTCTGGGTCGCCGGGTTCTGTTTCTGCGTTGGCGGGTACTACAAACATAACGAACACACGGGCATTTCCGGTTTACAACCAGGACCATTCCCCTTCGCCTGCGACTATGATTACCCGTACCTGCAGCACTTGATGTATGCAAGCAACGCAGGAGAAGACGGTCCTTTTGGGCAGTTGCAACTCGAGGGTTCTAGTGGCGGTCTAGTTTACGGCGCAAAAGACGGCACTACGCAACAGAATCTGCAGCGCAGTCTCGGTGGAGCAGGGGCAGCACCGGGAACACACGGTGGAGTTGTACTAGAGGCCACAAGTGGGCAAACACCAGCATCGCAAAAGGCCACCGGTTTGGTCGTTCCGAACTACTACCAAATTCTCGCACAGCAAAATCAAGCGATTTCCATGCTCTGTCGCGAGTTGGCGAACAAGAGGAGGAATATATTCTGTGCAAAAGTATCGTACCGCAATCATGCATCACAAATCTTCTTTTTAAGGTAAATCCGCATTACAAATTTTATTATTTCTTATGCTGAGGAAATTTGTAATGCATTGATACGAGTGCGATACTTTTGCAGTTCACAGAATACCATGGTGAGCAATTTGAGTAACTACCGAGGAGGCTCTACCGGGTCCTCTAACACGCTGAACACGTTGGTCGACGGTGGCAGATCCCGGGCGAACACCAACTTTCTACGAGGATCCCACGAGTCGGTTTTTTCCCAAATAACGGACAGTGGCGCGGGAGCTGCTCCTCTTGGTGCGCCGCCGGGGGGACTATCAGGAGGAGCTCCTGGAAACCCAAATCAACAGCAGCAGCAGCAAGCATCTTCGCAGTTAGGCGTGCAAAGACAACTTTCCTCCGGGGAAAGATCTGCGACTTTGGGTCACACCCCGACAAGAAGGGGGACGAGGACGTTGACGGGTGTGAGTTGCATTTCAGCCGTTTCGGAAGGCGGGATATCCTGTGCAAAAGTATCGTAGTCGTACTAATTCAATTGCAAATATGCATGACAAATCTACGCTTTTACCTCAATTAGCATCACAAATTTCATTTTTCTTTCTGATAAGATTTGTAATGCAATTTGTACTAATACGATACTTTTGCGATGCATACGGGACTGCGAGACAGAATTTCGATCCGGATAATTTCCACCAAGATAATTTGATCATCTTCCCACGGGGCTTGGGCTTGCACTCGGATCACGAGCTGTTGATTCAGTCACAGTGCAGCTTGTACCAGAGACCAATCGCGCCACCAGGCTCGCCAAGGAATAACAGTCCGGAGCCGGCGAGTGGTACTGCAGCTGCTCAAGCACATGCAGGAGCTGGAACAGCAAGCAGTGCAGGTGGCGGAACAGCAGTGGGAACAGCAGCAACAACTTCTTCCCTCGGTGCGCCAGTGGGTCCAACCTCACGGCCAAGTGGTGGCCCTGGTGGAAGCAGTGCCGTGAGAAATCCGCGGGAAACCTCCGTGGACAGCAGTCGGACAACGAATGAACAGAGGGATAGCGGGAATTACATGGCAGCTACCTTTTTCTCCTCGACGCAGAGTAGTCAACAACCGCAACAGCGGCACTTGGATCAAAGTGCGTTTTTGTCATCACCCAGGGATCCGGAGACGATTGATGAGTCCAGCCCCGATGCCAGGCTGATCAAAATGCTGATGGCGCAACAGAGATTAAGCAACACACTGCAGCAACTGTTGTTAGCGAACCACAAGCAGGCGACAGCCAATCCTAGAAGTTTGTCAAAGCAGGGAAGCAAAGGCAGTAACACATCGACGCCTGCGAATCCCAATTTGGCCACCAGAGACAGTCGAGAAGGCGACACTGCAGCGTCTACGCCGGATAGCGGCGGTGGAGCGCCGGATGAGAGCGGGGGTGGTAGAGCTGGTGCTGGTGCTCTGGACAAAAACGAGTTGACGTTTGCTGGGGCGTCGCCGAGCGGAATAGGCGGTGGTGGAGGTGCACGAGTACAACAAATAGGTGGAAATGACAGCTTGAATCATTCGGAGAACGAAGACTTACAGCCGGCAGAATTACCGAATGGTGAGGATGCGGATGGCGATGCGAGTCAGGGCGGGTCGCTCGCGGTGCCCCCGCATGGTGGAGGTGATAACGAGGATGAGGTGGATCCGGAAGAAGGGGCAGGCGGCCCTGGACTCTTTGGTGTGCCAGGGAACAGCGGCGGCGTGCTCTTGGTTCCTGCTGGCGCTCCTGGCGGTGGTCCTCCGGATCAGGATATTAGCGGTAACACAACTTCTACCGATAGCTGGCTAGCGTCCAACTGGTACATTTTTCTGCTCTGGCCGAGTTACATCTTGATCACCATATTGTCCCTCCCCTGCCATCTCTGGTGGCGCATTAGGAGGGATGCAGGTCGAGCCGGGACGGCGAAAGAAGGAGTCGGCTCGCGAACAGGAGCAGGAATGTCGTCCACGACGGCGATTAAGTCTCGAAGTGAAAACGATCTCGCGATTTTAGAGAGCAACACCGTAAATGAAGTTACGCCGCTGTTAAAAAGATCCAGGTCCGGGAGGCTGAAGGGCGAGCGGGAAGGTTCTTTCCATCATCATATTCCGATGAGGGGGGAGTTTCTGATAGAAGAGCCGAGTTTTCGACAGAGCTACAGGACCACTACCACTGGTGGGAGAGGTGGGCATCAGTATGACAGTCGACATGGTGGTCGTGACGGCCATGGCAATAGCACTACCCAGTACAAAAATTCAAGATCCTCCAAACGCAGTAAGCACAAACCGATGAAGCCAGCGGCTACCACAGCAGTCGTCCCAACCAGTGCGCGCAGAAGCCCGGTTAGCAGCTGTGCGGTCAGCATGAGTGGGAGCAGCTGCAGGGCGAACTTGAATCCCAATTCTGCAGCCTCCTCCCAGCACAACTGCCCACTGATTGATGCACAGAAATTCCAAAATCTAACGAAAATCCCCTCCCAGCAAGACCTGCTTTCTGGATCCTCAAAGTCCGCCGGCGGACCACCACGTGGGGCCAGCCATGGCAGTTGCGGGCAACTGCAGTTGGTCGCAAATACACAGAACCTCGCTGCTCCTGCAGCCGTCCATGTAGCGCAGCAAGCTTCTGCTGTAGAAGGCAAAGGAGGGAACAATGCTGAGCACAACTCTAGTACTGGTCTTCACCTTCCGAACTTTCAGCAGCCGAATCCACACGAGCTTGTGAGACAGAATTCCGGAAGCTTTTACAACTTGAATAGCAACAACCCAGCAAATCAGTCCACCACTACCACTCGAGTTCCCAACACCGCCTCTGGTAATCGCGGCCGGAGAATCCCGCACTTGAGCAGCTCGCAGTCGGAGCAGGAGTCATCTCTGCACCATCAGCAGGGCTCTCCCAGCATTAATAGCACGACTGCACAGATGTTGCCGAGTCTTCATCAAGGACAAGCAACAGGGCAGCAGCCGCAACTGCAGAACCAAAATCTGAATTTGGTGCAGCAGACTGTGAGTGCGGTGCTCTCGCAAACTACAGCTGGAGTCATGGCTGCTTTGCCGCTAGGCTATACTCCAGGAGCATGCGCAAACCAGATGCAATCGCAATCAATTTCGGGATCATCCGCTACTTGCAGTACTGCTGGCGAAGTTGTTTCTGGTGATCCACAAAATCCCCAGCACCAGAACATCCTTGCTAACACGGGGATTAGCTTGGACGCGTTAGTACACACAGTGTCCGAACGGGTTGCGGGGACTTTATCCGAACTGTTTTTGAAAAACGAAAGGACGAGCAAAGAGGACTTGGCCGAGAAGTTCCGGGATACGAGGAAAGGGAATAGTGGAACAACAGCGCAGGGCGTGGTGTCCTCGAGAAGCGGTAGGTACAAGAGAAGCAACCGGGGGGAGACGAGGGGACAACATCGTCCAAGGGGGAGTGGTGATCATGATTACACCAGACAGGAACGACATCAACACGGCGTTCAGAATGAGGCCCAGCAAGAACATATCAATATGTAAAAATGTCTGGGTCTGGAAGATTGCGAGATTTGTCATGCACGTTTTGCATGGGCCATGATGTCTGTGATGCATGCCCTAGCGTCACAGACTTTTTGAGGGCTTCGTGATTCCTATTCCGCATGACAAATGCCCTCTCCGCATAGCCAAAATTGCATTCCCTTTGCTGGTCATGCAATACAGACTTTTTTGGAATCCAAATGCAGCATCACAAGTTCGGATTCTTCCAGACCCAGACATTTTTACATTTGATAGAACATCACCAGCAGCAAAGCTACAACTATTTCGCCCTTCCTGAGGGCCTGGATGCCTATGGATTGGTGGTGCAGCAGCAGCAGCAGCAGCAAAATGTGTATGGGAGCTGCAACCGAGGAACCCAAGAGCACTACGGCGAGCCTTCTACACGTCAGCACCATCCAAATCAGTACCACAACCAGGAACCCGAGGACCTTCGTGAAGATGATGAGCTCATCCTGAAGCGCAGGAAGAAGGAGGAGCGCAGGCGCCGCAGGGGTGAAGACGACGAAGAGCGCAGACGGCGGCGCGAGGAACGAAGGCTGGAACGGATGAACACACAGCAGCAGTACTACGAAATGCAAATGCCACACACGGATTCTGTCCCCGATGGGGAAAATGATAGTTTTTTCAATATGAACTTGTCCGCCACATCGTCGAATAAACGGAGACAGGAGGAGGAGCGACGGGTCAGGGAAGAGGGGAGGAGAAAACGGATGTATGAGCATCGGGCGGCAGGAGGCCATGGTTTAGACCGAGCGACTTCCTCTGCGACCGCGTCTACTTCTAGAAGGGGAAGCGATCAGAAATATGGTAGCTCTGGCGCTGCAAGGTATGTTGACCCGTACGGAGGTTATTATGATCAGGAGCGGTATAATAGCAACCGGACCCAAGAGAGGAATACAGGCGATCATGAGCAGTTGAACTATTACAATCAAGTGCAGCAGCAGCAAATGCAACTTGGTGTTGACAGCAGTTCCCGGAACAACATGCAATCAAATCCTAACGCGGCTGAAAATAACAGCCAACAGCCCACGAACGATCGCAGTCAGATTCAAGAATTGTTAGATCAATCAAGAAACTTCGGGAAGCGGCTACAGGAACGAGCGCAACAAAGGTCGAGCGCGGGCGCGGCATATGGGGGAGGGATGAATACGGGAAATCTTCTCGGACAGTCTGGTCTGTCCTCTTCATCTACAGGAACTACGGGTACTAGAGCCGCTGGACCACATCAAAGCAGTGCGAATCCACAAAACCACCTGCGGAAGACCGCGAGTACGAAGGAACGAAGGTCACAAGAATCCATCTCTTCCAGCTCCTTTTCCGCCTTTTGGTCCGCTTTTCTCAGTCCCACGTCAAACAACCCAAGTGGGAATATTAACAATAACGAGAACGGAGAAGGAGGTACTTTTCGTGGGGAAAACAATCAAAATTACGATCCAAACGAGGAGATGAATAACAACGGAGCAGAACAAAACAACTTACAACTGATCATCGAAGAGGAGGAGGAACAAAGACCTAGTTCCGGTGACGGGAGGAGGGAAATTGAGAAACTGCGGCAGCGGGCAATTTCGAAGTTGAACAAATCGGCGGACCAGTATTTGCGCGGGTCTAGTACTTCTTACCGCGGAACAACAAGTGGGGTGCTGAACAGGTCCGCTGATTTAACTGGCTGGAAAACCACTTCTGGTGTTTCCTCCAGTAGGCACCGCGACTACTCCACTGGCGGCGGTGGGGCGAGAACTGGTGGGAGTTACGGAACAACGACGAGAAGCGGTACAACGACGAAAAACACAAAGGATTTTTGGCCATTGAACAGCAACAATATTTCCTCACCAAGAAATCCAAGCGGCGGACCCTATGGATGTGTCAGAGTTGAAATCGACAAAGTTGAAATAATTTGTCATGCATAAAATGGATGCCAGTTGGAACCCAGTTTTCAAGTGGCGCAAGACAAATTTTGGTGGTCCCTAAATCCGCTTTCTCATGCTACTTTAGCAGCTCTAGCTGTAACCCCAAACAGGCTTACAATCGGCCTCACTTGCCTGCTCTGCAACACACGTGCCTCGGGTCATGCATTTTATGCATTACAAATTATTTCAACTTTGACGATTTCAAACCTGACGCTTCCATAGACCCCCTATAATGCGGAATCCAAGTTCGAACAATAGCAAATTATTAAGCCAGAGTCTCTACCAACTGCAAAAATGTCTGGGTCTGGAAGATTCTGACACTTGTCATGCACGTTTTGCATGAGCCATGACGTCTGTGATGCATACCCTACTAGCAATACAGATTTTTTGATGGTTTCTTGATGCCTATTCCGCACGACAAATTCCTTGTTAGCGTCGCATAAATTGCATTCCGTTTGATACTCATGCAATACAGATTTTTTTGGAATCTAAATACAGCATCACAAGTTGTATTCTTCCAGACCCAGACACTTTTACATTTGATAGTCTCCTCTCCGACAGCATGATGAATACAAACCAAAATACCAATCCCCGTGGAGGTGGCAGTGGGACCACTGGAACCGGAATATTAAACGCAACCAACCCAAACCAAACGATGAACTTGAACACTTCTGCGGATGCTATTGACATTACTGATTTGTTGAAACGGTCAAGATCCGCGGGGCCGGCGAGCTGCGCGCAACAGCAACTCGCGATGTTGCATGGCGGAAACAATAATTTCCAGCAAATAAACAGGTTCCCCACGCCCCCACCCGACCACGATGCGAATTCCAACCGGCCACCGTTGTTCTTACCTGAAGTCGTAGTTTCCGCCCCTGGGAAGTCAATCACGACTTCTACTTTAAATTCCTCCGGTATGCTGGGAGGGTTTGGGAACGCAGCAAGCTCTTCTTCTTCAGCAAGTTCAAGTAGTGCGAGCGCGAGCGGGGTGGTTGGCGGAGGGACAATCAATTTTGAGCATGGGGGTAGTAGTGTGGGTTGTCACCAGGTGAACTTGAGTGTGATGCCTGGAAGTGGGGGACAAGGTCAAGGGTCTAGCTCGGCCTCGACCTTGGCGGGAGGAGAAGGTGGTGGTAATAGTACAACATGGGCTGCATCAACAAATCATGCAGCAGCACACTCGTCTTCCCCATCCGTTTCCGCAATACAAATCACCGGGTCCTCTTCGCCTAGAGCAATCCCAATTCAATCTGACAAGAAAGGGGAAGAAGAGGAGCCCCCAGGGGTGATTATCACCCTTTCAGAATTAGAGAAAATTTGACGAAGATATGGCAAAGATGATGATTTTGATGCAGTCGCCATCTCGCGCAGTGCAGCACTGTAGGCGTCGCGAAACTTTTTTTGCAGCCCCAGCTGCTGCTGCTTAGTACTAATAGTTGAAACCCAAATATAACGATTTAGAATGGGGCGCCTGCCTTTCTTTTCTTGCGCTTCAACGTTTGATGTAGTCTTGAGAATAAAGTTTTTTTTTGCTTCGCTTGTCGAGTTTTGCACGTTAGGATTGTATCGGGAATATATCATTTTCGTTTTTCCACCAAATGAACGACTGACTTTTTGAACACAGGATCTTCAGGAACGAACCAACTGGAAGTGCGTACTTAATGTCAACATCGGGGAGAACTCAATCTAATGAAGTCCCGGTCAGCTGCACGCTGTGATGATATTGCTATTGGGCTGGCATAGATCATGATCAACGTGCGGAATCGAGTAAAGCACGACATCGGACTCTGTCACTAGTAGTACACAGGTGTTGGTTTTGTTCTATCATTGCTGGTGAGGGTGTTATTTTTCTTATTTCGCTTTTTGTTTGGGGAGATATGAGTGTTTGAGACGACACACACGAAGAGAAACATTTGAGGGCAGCGCCAGTGTGAGGAAACTTGAGCGTGCCAGTTTTAAAGCATGTCTGTACCGGTGCCTCCTTCCTGGTAAAAAAAAGATCAAAACTTACTACATGAGAATTGTGGACCCGCAACGCGGCCTGCAGCCGTTCCCTGCAGTGTTGTGCGCCCACGGTCTAGAAGAGAGCCAGCGGCAGCCTTGGGCGAGGCAATGCTCGCCGCCGACTAGACCACGTCGCACCGCAGTAAGTTGCGGCAGGCAGGCGCGCCGCCCCTTGGCTTGTGTCAGTCGGGCGCCCCTCCGATGATCCGGGGCATCGCTAACGACGAATACGTCTGGAGCGAAAGCCAATACGCGGCACCTCGGCCGGGCCTCTGCGCGGACACACACAAGAAAGCTGCGCAGTTCGCGACGGAGAGGCGCCGGCCCGCGCGTGTTCCAGTGTGGTGATGGCTTTGCCCATTTGCGCGCCGCAGTGCGCGCAATCAAAGACGGGGCAGGCGCCGGCCGTTGCGCCCTCGCCTGTTTTTTCGCGGTGCCGTCGCGGCGCGTCCTGGCGGGCCTGGCCGGTTGCGCCTCGCTCTCTCCATTGGCACCCCGACCAGCTGGCCGGTCGTTGGCCGGCTCTTATCCCTCTGCAGTGGATGTGCCGCAGCAGCGTCTGTCTCTCTCTGCTCGTGCGCCCTCGTTGCCTCAGTCGGCGCGGCCAATCGTAAGAGCTCGCAGACGGACCAACCGCTCGCCCCGCGGGCCAGGAAGCTCGCGCGACGCTTTATATTGAGTAGAAAACCCAACTGAAGTAAAAAGTAGCGAGACCTCGGCTGGTCTTGTCAATCGTGACATTTATTGCGTTGGAGGCGCACGACAGGCTCACTGTCTCTTCTTCGCGGTGCAAGTAAAGCGCCTGTGTCTTTGAGTGCAACCGAGCGTCATTTTTTTTTTCCTGAGGGCTTGGATATATTTATAACCGTCTGAGACAAGAGCGAAGCCGACGAACAGGACGGCGTGAAAGCGAAAGTGTGCGACGAGGGCTTAGCGTGCAGTTGCGTTTGCAGTAATTGCATTAATACAATATTCTATCCTGTGAAAAAACAGTCTGGCGCCCCTCGATCCGTTCGGCGGGCCCTGTTGCCATGCCCTGCCCGTTGTGCGCCCATTATGGGGTGGGCGGGAGGCAGTGTGTTGCCCCTCTTGGCGCCAGGGCAACACAGTCACAGGGACAGGGCAGTGGTGTTTATGGGCGGGCGCCGCTCGAGCCCCACCACGGACCGACGCACGCAACGAGCGGCCGGGCTGGCGCGAACGAGAAGGCCCCCCCGGACGGGCGAACCCTCCCCGCCGCCACTACGCCGGCGCCCGCCGCGACGGGCGGCAGTGGCCCCCCTAAGGCCCAGGCCCAGGCCCCGGGCACTTCGAAACGCTGATAATCGCAATCGGCCTGTGTGCCGTCGCGGCAGGCGCGGGGCGGCGCGAGTAGGCGCAGCTATTTTTTATCGATTTGCGTTTGGCTTTTGCCTTTCGCGGCGGTCTGCGAACAAACTAGGGGGGGGGGGGGGAAAAGCCAAAAGCCGACGAAGTGCGGCCCACTGCCCTACGCCTGTCGGGGCGCCCCGCTGGCCCCGTATATTTCTGGGGCGCCCCCCCTGCTTTTGTGTGGGCCCCTGCAAGCAGAGCGGGCCGCCCGGGCGTCGCTTCTTCCCGCCCCCCCCCCCGCCCGGGCCCTCCGGCCGGATGGTTCCCTGCTTCGTTCTAGCAGGGAAGCAGTGCAGCCGGCCCGGGAGTTTACCAACCCCACCGGCCCGGCGGGGCCCATATGTGGTGGAGCTGGCCCATTTGACTGGGGCCGCGTTTTGTGGGCCGCGCCCGCGCGCTGGGTGGCCTGTCCCCCGCGGTTGCTTGCCTGTGTGCTGTGGGCCGCCCGCCGCCATGCGGCGTCGGCCCGCCGGTGGGTCTCGTGGCTTGGGTCAATTTATTTGCCGGCGCGACTAGGCGGCGCGCCCACACACAGGCCGCGTTGTCAGTCTGGCGCAGGGCAGCGAGTCTGTATTGCCGAGTCGGCGCAGTTTTTCTCTGAAGTTGAATTACCATGAGGAGGAGGCTGACGCACTCGCAGCTGGTTTTTGTTTCTCAGCGTGGTGTTAGTTCTGCTTCTGCTGCGCAAAATTGCGCGAACGGGGAGGTGAGAGCGATTTTCTTGTGAGTGTTTCTGTTTGGAGATACACTACGCACACATCCCGGGAACTTTTACAAGACTTGTCAGTATGCAGGCGGGTGTGGCTGGACAGAGAGGAGATTGAGATGGAAGAAGAACTCTTTGACCAGAAGTGGTTGCCATATTTGCACTAAAAATCTTCACTACATTTAGCTTTACAGAAGAGCAGCTTACCGGAACGAGGCAACACCTTAGCAAACCCCAAATCAAGATGCTCGGTCGCGTCCTCTCGACGGCTGCGAAGAAGACCAGCAGCTTCACCTCCGCCCAGACGCTGAGAAGCAACTTTTTCAACATGCAGAAGCGCACCATGGTACTCGGTGGCGGGATATGAACTGCAAAAGTATCGCACTCGTATAAATGCATGACAAATTCCCTCAGCGTGAGAAATAAAATTTGTAATGCGGATTTACCTTGAGACAAAAATTTGTAATGCATGACTGCAATTATACGAATACGATACTTCTGTACAGGATACGGGAAGCCAACGGCGTTTCGACAGGACTCCTTGCTGGTCGCCTGTACCATCGCGGCGTTGACATAGTATACGACGTTTTTCTTTCCTTGTCATGGTTTTTCTGCATGACAAAATGCTTCTGCAATTGATAATCTCGCATGACAAATCTCTAGTATAAAAAACCCATCAATCACAGTTACGTTCCGCAGGATCTGGTTTTCCTCACCCTCCTCGGCATGTACAAACGCGCAGAGACGGGTTTGATGGGCGGCAAGACCAAGTGCGCAAACCCCCACGCGGCTTTTGCTGAGTGGAAATCTACGCGGGGCAGTCTCGTGAAAAACAGCACCTGCTACGGGTCGGGAAGCTGCTACTACGCGACCGTGTAGCTTCTGGAGATATTAAGATTCTGTCGTAGTGAAGATCAAATTTTCCATCTTGAACAAACACTTTTGTGTGGCAACGAAAAGACGTTGCGCCATCAAACATTTTTTAGAAAACCTGCTGCTCTGCTGAGGACGTACAAATCAACTCATCCTGCTCTCCTGCTTGCTGTCACCGAAAAGGTAAATAAACTCATCGTTAGTAGAAACCTGAATCTTTCACTATCTGGAAAAAGCACATTTACTAACATTTGATATTGTCCTGCGGATATCGCCACAGCTGTGTGGTCGTCAGAACGATAGGGAGGGGCACGGACCGCCCCTCGGTCGCTCCTTGGACAGCCATTGTACTGTTCTCGCACGATGATGATCCAATTTCCTAAACTCAGAAGCACCTTTTCTGTGACACCGGCCGCTTTTTTCCTCCGCATTTTTGATTTTTACTCTCCGCCTTTGCAACGGGCGCATACGAGTCTGTTTGTAAGAAAAACCTCCACAGCGATCTACCTGCCTTTATTAGCCGTGCCTTTGTGCTGCTAGGTGAACACAGTTTTTTCTTCGCGGCTTATCGTTATCAACAAGAACGCTTCCAGAAAATAAAGTTCCAGTTTATCATTTGTTTGAGTTGGATTGTAAGTCCAACTCTAAGTGCCGGGAAACAAATTGAAAAAGCATAAAGTAGAAAATGTCCACGTCAGCCTCCTCGTCCAGCCGCTCTCCCACCGAAAAAACCAAAACTACGCAAACCCTCCGCGACATTGCGTACAGTCGTGGTTTCGGCGCAAGACGAATCGTCCGGGCGGAAATTTGGGAGTTTTTACTGCAACAACCAACAGCTCCCTCTAATACGAATACCAACCAAAAAACGAAGAAACAGAACATTCTGGCGAAGTTCAAGGACAAGGCGCTAGAGCAGAAGCTGATCGCGAAACTCCTCGGCGAGCTACCGGTGAAAACAACCAAAGCGAGCAAGCTCGGGGAGACCATTTTGGAAGCCGCAAAAACTACCCAAACAGACACCGCGGTAAGTAGAACGAGGACAGTTTCGAATGACGATGATAATATCCCCGCTTCTATTCAGCAAGACTTTGACGCGGTGTACATTCCGCCCGAATTGAAGCACAAGCTCCCGGCGAACGACCTCCACGTGATCGAGGCGGATGTGAAAAGGTCCTGTTTCTCATGGGATATTCACAAAAAGGAATCAGAACTCCCGATTGAATCCATGCGGTTGGCGGACAGACAGAACAAGCGGAACACGTTGATAAAGCTGCTCGGCGAGGTTTTGGTGGAGGAAAAGATCGATCATAGGGAAAAAAAGCAGAAAACCATCACAAATACCTGGAAATATTACCAGGGCTTCCACGACATCTGCCTCGTCTTCCTCGAAACGATGAGCACGAGATTTTCCGCGGCGAGTTCTGTGAGAACCTTCATTGACAAAACGCTCGTGATATCCTGTGCAAAAGTATCGTACTCGTATTGCAGTCATGCATTACAAATCCTTTTGTTAAGGTAAATCCGCATTACAAATTTTATTTCTCATGCTGAGGAAATTTGTAATGCATTTATACGAGTGCGATACTTTTACTTTTGCAGTTCATACATGAAGGAGTTTTTGTCCCCGGAGAAGCGGTTCGACGAGATCATTTTTCCGCTTTTCGACATTATGGAGCAGATTTTACGCGAACACGACCCGCAGCTCTTTACCCACTTCAAATACCTAAACGCGCACGCTGGGCTCGCGGACACCGGGCAGATTTCCCTCCACTTCACTTTAGCGTGGCTGCTTACCTTTTTCGCGCACAGTGTGAATGAGTTCGAATTGCTATCCCGCGTGTTCGACGTTTTGGTCGCGGAGTGTAAAGGAAGTGCTGGTGATGTTGGTGATGACGGCGGGGGAAGTACAAGTAGATTAACTTCTAAATCTAAGCCAAAATCCTATTACACCATTCTCTTCCTCATCATCGCATTGTTGAAAACACAGAGGAACAAAATCATCTTGGAACTTCACGACGCAACAGAGATTCACATGCACTTCTCCTCTACAACTTTCTCCTTCGCAAAGGATGACGACAATACTACCGTTTGTATCGATACTTGGCTGGCGCAAGCGAAGAAATTGATCGATGCAACGGACATGGAACAGCTGCTGAAGAGGTTAGCTCGGAGGAAAAAGTACGAATTTATTGTGAATGGGTTGAAGAAACGGAAGAAACTACTCTTCACCGCGACCGGGTCAACCACCGCGGCAATAGTCGCAACCACCGCAACTTACTACGAAGAGCTTGCCATGACGACTCTCGCGCAAGTGACGGAGTTGGTTTTAAATCCGGAGATTTTGGTGCGGTTTGTCATGCAGTATTTCGAATACGCTGCGGCGACTGTAGTTGCTGCTGCAACAGAAGTTTTTCAAGTCGAGGGCTACGTGAAAGCGGTCGTGGATGTCGTAGGGAACTATGGCTCGGAAATTACACCTGTTTTAGAATTTGCGTATGAACGGCACTTCTACTCCGTGAGCTTTTTTTTCACGGGCGTGGTTTGTCTGTACCTAGGGATCATACAGACTCTGAGTAGGAAATTACGGGTGTACGATACGATGAATGCGAATGAATGAATAAGGCGCTGAAGAATTGCACGACCAAATAAAGACGGTTGTCGACAGCATAGCAAAACAACTTCTCACAGCGCACGATTAATCTGTGGGTGCCAAGCGTGCACTTTTGAAGACATCGCAGACAGCTGCAGTGGTTCTGCTTGATGTTATGTTCGGATGAGCAAGATCTTCTTTTTTCACATGTTCTTGAGAAACGCGGGTTTTTTCGCTGCGGTCGTCCCTGCTACTGAGATCCAGGTCGGAAGATCCATGCTGGTGTTGCGTTGTTTGTCCTCTGCGGAAGAAAAAAATAGTGCGACCTTCCGGAAAAAAGATCCAAAACACCGATCGCCTGCCCCCGTCGAAAATGGGCTGCGACGTGTTCATCTGAAATAACGTTCTTCGTGCAGCGAAAATGAAACCCTTTCATCTCCGCCACCCTGCTCCTGCAGCTCGTCATCTTTCCCGCCACTGCACGATTGGGCGATCTTTGGCCGACCGCGGTGGCCGTGCATATGGAAGGTTCGAAATTTGTCTTGCGACAAAAATAACATCGAGTTCGAGAGCACAAAACCTCCAACTCCGTTGCTTTTCCGACGCGCCGAAGCGACATAACCTCTACATCCCGAGAAAGGTGGCAAAATGGACACTAGTGAATATGCAATGCAAAAGCATCGTATTACTCGTATAAATGCATTACAAATTTCTTCTGCGTGAGAAATAAAAGTTGTATATGCGGATTTACGTTGAGCTTGAGAAAGAAATTTGTAATGCATGATTTGAATTACTACGAGTACGATACTTTTGCACAGGATAGTGAAGGGGAGGAAGCAGCAATCGAAGGTGATTCTTCTCCCCCCCTACGTCGCCGCCGCGGAGTTACGGGTAATGTTCAATTTAGGCTACAGCGAGATTTTCCGCTTGTTGAACGTCACTTTCGAGGACGGGGCGTACACCTGGAAGGACCAGGCAAACCGGGTGTTCAAAACGGCGAACAAGCGGTGCGTCTTGATTCCGTATAGAATCGCCGCGGCGGCAGCCGCGGATTTCGGGTTGGAGCCGAAATTGTTGGATGTAGAGCCGGAATGGGACCGGAAGGTGTTGGCGGAACGGATGTTGGAAGGGATGAACAAGAAGGATAAAAGTTCTGGTGATCATGTGCAGATGCCCCTTTCGTCGACGAAAAATACTAGCATGACAACTTCCATTATCCCGACAGTCGTCGTCCTGGGGCACATTGACGAGGGGAAAACCTCTTTCCTCGATCGGGTGCGCGGGACGAATGTCGCGAGGTTGGAGCCTGGTCGGATCACGCAGGATATCCGGGCATTCACGATTAAGGAAGAGACGTGTGTTAGGCCCGGGATGTTGGATCCGTGGGAACAGGTTCGGGAGATGGAGAGAAGGTTATTGTTCTCTAGCGGTGGTTCTAGCATGACAAACGCAGTTGTGCCAAGATCCTCAACTACCGCTCTAGCGGCGTCCGGCAACACAGACAGCTGGTCCAGCACCGAAGATCCATACCTGGACCACGACAAAGACGCTTTAGCCCAGCTCTCCCAAGCAGAAGAAGAGAGCCTCTCCGAGTTGGACTGTATGAGACGGAAGTTGTATCTGAACTTCAACGAACAAACGAAACAATTGAAAAAACAAGAAACGCCGAAACAACCGGAAAATTTCGTGAAGTTCCAGGACGGGCTGGACGCGCTCGGACAAGAGGGAAAAGAGACGTATTTGGCGAGTTTAGAGAATGCAGACCTGAGCATTTTGGAGAAGAACATGCTGAAAAACGAGGAGGATAAAGAGAACAACGGGACAAAACGGCCAGTACTGTATTCCAAGCACAAGTATCAAATGCAAATATGTCTGGGTCTGGAAGAGACAAACTTGTGATGCTGCATTTGGATGCTACAAAAAATCTGCATTGCATGAGCAGCAAGAGGAGTCAAATTTGGCTACACGGAGAGGGCATTTGTCATGCAGGATGCGCATCGATAGGCGTCCAAAAAATCTGTGATGCTATGGCATACATCACAGACGTCATGGATCATGGAGAATGTGCATGACAAACTTCTCCTCTTCCAGACCCAGACATTTTTGCATTTGATAACAAGCCGACAAACGACTACGCACCTAGAAGAAATTTGCGGATAGGGCAGAGGATCACGGCGGAGAATAAGGAGAAGAAAAGACGGGAATTTTTGGAGTACTATCCGAATGAGAAGTTTCGAGACCACCACGCGATTGAGAGGAGATTGGACGAGGAGTTGTGGGATATCCCACGTGGTCTCTCCCCCTACCCCGGTTTTTCATCGTTTTTCAAACTATTGAGCAGGTCTGAAAAATAAAAAAATGCGACCCGGTCACATGATCCGAGCGTGTGGA